TATGATTAGGATTAGCACCTTTCAAAGTTGTTTTTCAGTCGATGGCCTTCATGGAAAGCTTACGAGCACTAGATTCTCCTTGAAATTTCTTTCGGCAGTACATTTTTGAGGATGGTAAAATATGATGCAAATTTCCTGTCGCTACTCAGTTCTATATCGCCGCGGGCAACTCGCCACTGACTCGCCCACGTGAGAAGTTCAAAAGTTGTACCACAACCGCAGTTTCAAAGTTCTATTAACCTAAAATTTTCTAATTTTTCTCAAACATAAGAACCGGAAAGAAGCCATTGTTACAAAGACTTACCTCTGATAAAGCCACTTTTGTCTTCCTTTGGTGAAGGAAACGATAAAAGAACCTCTCATCTCCTCAAGGTACGAGGAAAATGATTTACTTGCTCCAGTTCGACGAAATAGTTTTCACTTACTTTCACTCACGCTACGATGGAATTGAAAGAAAATCTATGAGAACAACATAGACGCTAGTTTTCAGAAAAATAAAACATTGGATCGGCAGATTCCTTTAGGAGTGCCGGACAAAATAATATTCATCGCGTTCTTTCTAAAGCACGAAGAGCTGGTGTTTGCAAAGTCAATTTAGGGTGTGTTGCCGTGTAAAGCTATCTATCCGGACACGCCTCGCGTGTCTATGCACGAGATCCACGTACATGTCACGCGTAGGAAAGCGAGCTGGAATAAAAGAACGTCACGTTCAAAATGCGTGGAAACAATTAGGTGCTTTGCTCAGTGATATTCAAAACAACAACCACTCACCCAGATCACCAGATCACCAGTTATAATAGCCTTGAAAAAAAGCCGCTTTCCATAAGATCCTTTTTACCGATAACATTTTGTGCTCTTAAATAGCTTAAGTGCTTTATTCTATAATTTGCCTTCTTAAATGCAAAAATCTCAAATTAAGGTGCATCGAAATGAAAAATGACTGGCATCAAAAATAAATAGTATCGGCTCTGTTTTCTATACCGATCCTTTTACAGTAACCGACGATGGGTGACGTGGATTATATAAGTGATTGCATCGATTACCTCGAGACAAAGAGAATACTTCTCCGATGTATAGTTCAATAAAATTACAAAGCGTTGTCCAGCTTTAAATAGTTTGCTGATCAATTGTCAAGAAAATGTCAAAACTTAAAACGACATACGTAGATTTTATGCGAACAGGCATAGGCTGGCGGTGGAGCTCTTGTAGATAAAAATAGCTTTAACTTTTACCCAAAATAAAACCGAAAGTCAAATATACACGCCCAAAGGGGAAACAGTCGTCATAATAGGTCTGTGACAATACTTTATTTTCGTTCCAAGGATGACTATGTAATGAACGATGGAAATATGAAGGGGGACAAGATGAAACCGATATACCTTCGTTTCGTTTTCAGTGATAAAACCAATCCTAAGGATCGCAAAAGGCAAAGCAAAATAAATTTCCATGACAAGAAGAACTGTTTTCTACTTCCCAACCCCAAAATTGAGTGTTAAAAACTATTTTTGAGAGTGAATGAATGAGTCTTGGAATATGAAAGCCCTGTACATGGAAGAGACGCATAAAAATACGCCACCAGACCTTCCACTTTTTTATGTCAACATAGTAATTTTAGCGCAACTCAACTTTTTCAGAGAAAATACGTCAACTTAGTTAAGCTCTTTTTATACTTTTATTTTCGTTTGTATTCTATGGAAAATCTACAAACATACTAAATAAAGATTAATTACGTACCAAATAAATTAAGAGATTCAACATCAGTCATTGTTCTCTTCAGAGTCAAACTAATTCCGTCAAATATCACAAGCTATTTTAACAATCAGTAATAAATACTTTCACTGTGAAAATATACAATAGCCCCCAAATGCTCTTGAAATTTACATCATACATATGTACAGCACAAAATCGCCGCGACTTCAGTAAATAGAAACTTATTTCTTAAATAGAAAAAAACTGCTAGATAACTTTCCGTTGCGGCACCATATTTCACCGGCAGATTCAAAACAGTCAAAAAGTTAAAACCACATACAACATACTCAATATCGCCGGAAAGTACAGCTGTCTAGCTTTTGCACGACCGTTTTCTTTATTTTACCACTGCGATGCGTAAAAGAAAGGTACAGAAAAAAAAACCTGGTTGCAAAGCCGCAACTGTAGATTGCATTAGACTAAAGGTTGGGGCGGAACTTTGAAAAACTTTTGGGCTAAATAGTTTTGTTTTTGAAAGAACAACCTTGATTGCAATCCGTTCTAATCTTCATCAATTATTGCCCATCCCTTCCTCCTTTAACATTTGCCTTGTTATTTTATAAGTCATCCCTCTATGTTATGGCTATTTTTTGACTTCCTCAGGCCGGTCAGTTGCGACTATCTGAATTTGGCAATAATTCATGAAACAGCTCCAAAGGAAATAAGTTCGTTGTCTCTAAGGCTACCTTAGTAAACTTGCCGAAGGATTTTAAGGTTCAAAATTTCGCGTTTTTGAAAGAATGATCGTGTTTGACAGCCGGGGTTGACAGTGAACAGCTTATTTGTTTGTGTAGCGCGCTCGACAAAGTCTATGAAAGCTCTCCTTTTGAGTCCACAACAAGAACGTAAAATATGAATAATAAGTTCTTNCTTAGTTAAGCTCTTTTTATACTTTTATTTTCGTTTGTATTCTATGGAAAATCTACAAACATACTAAATAAAGATTAATTACGTACCAAATAAATTAAGAGATTCAACATCAGTCATTGTTCTCTTCAGAGTCAAACTAATTCCGTCAAATATCACAAGCTATTTTAACAATCAGTAATAAATACTTTCACTGTGAAAATATACAATAGCCCCCAAATGCTCTTGAAATTTACATCATACATATGTACAGCACAAAATCGCCGCGACTTCAGTAAATAGAAACTTATTTCTTAAATAGAAAAAAACTGCTAGATAACTTTCCGTTGCGGCACCATATTTCACCGGCAGATTCAAAACAGTCAAAAAGTTAAAACCACATACAACATACTCAATATCGCCGGAAAGTACAGCTGTCTAGCTTTTGCACGACCGTTTTCTTTATTTTACCACTGCGATGCGTAAAAGAAAGGTACAGAAAAAAAAACCTGGTTGCAAAGCCGCAACTGTAGATTGCATTAGACTAAAGGTTGGGGCGGAACTTTGAAAAACTTTTGGGCTAAATAGTTTTGTTTTTGAAAGAACAACCTTGATTGCAATCCGTTCTAATCTTCATCAATTATTGCCCATCCCTTCCTCCTTTAACATTTGCCTTGTTATTTTATAAGTCATCCCTCTATGTTATGGCTATTTTTTGACTTCCTCAGGCCGGTCAGTTGCGACTATCTGAATTTGGCAATAATTCATGAAACAGCTCCAAAGGAAATAAGTTCGTTGTCTCTAAGGCTACCTTAGTAAACTTGCCGAAGGATTTTAAGGTTCAAAATTTCGCGTTTTTGAAAGAATGATCGTGTTTGACAGCCGGGGTTGACAGTGAACAGCTTATTTGTTTGTGTAGCGCGCTCGACAAAGTCTATGAAAGCTCTCCTTTTGAGTCCACAACAAGAACGTAAAATATGAATAATAAGTTCTTTCACGCGATTTTTTAAAATACCAGAGGAAAAAGACAAAGCCTGCTAGTCTCCGGTATGAAAGAGATCTAAAGACCACAAGAATAGATCTATCTTCGTCACTGAGGTGAACGAACAATAAATAAGTTGTTACAAAGTATAGGAAGTACAATATAGAACGCCAAAATAATTTACTCCGACGCATATGCACGTAACTTCGAAAGAAAGAGCCCGCGCGAAACTACAAGTGTCACTGTAAGCAAGAGAATTACCGACGAAGTTTTTGAAGTTACGTTGACTTGTTTGTGTTATAAGACTCAGATATAAAGTTCCGTTTTTGAAGCATAATATCAATCGCCAGACCCCAAACAGACCGTCCACTAAGCAGCCAGCTGCTATAAAAGTTTTCAATACACGCCCCTAATGGAGTAGGCGTAGAACTTAATCACTCGTAAATCCAGACAAGCTGTAAAATTTAAGGCGAGGCGGGTAATATAATCTAAACCCCGCGCGCGAGCAGGCTCTCCATTTGGAGGTTCGCGGGAGGTTACTCGAGAGCCGCACGCGAAAGGAAACAAATTGAGAGCTTGCTCGCATGGGCGAGATAGGGTCACTGCTAGTAAACTAACCGTCTTAAAATCCTTTACCCGTGAACGATGATCAATGACTAATTTCTCATTTTTTAAATCGGGTATTGATCAGGATAAGATGTTCTGAGAATTAAGTAAACGATCAACCAAACTTTGCATAACTTAACTTCTCCGCATGTCTGCTGTATGGCGTTAAGAAAGGAGAACTTGTCCTTTGACTTTCGGGTTAAACGGGTCATCACTTACACTAAGCATCCTAAATCGAATTAATTTTCAGTATTATTGAGGAAACTACAAAATTCCACCACTCAATAAAAAAATAAAATACCACAGGAAACTTATAAATCAACTTCTCCCAAAATGAAGCGTTACGAGGCGGCAATTAGACAATGCAGCTTCGCTACTCTTTCAATACACTCATTTAGTTAACAGGGGGGAAATTCACTGGCATCCCGCCCCTTAAAAAGCTATTTTAATTACGCGGAGGTTATAGCAGTCAGTGCTAAAATAACACGACTGAAGGCAGAACTCTGGAAAAAGCAATAGGGAAACCGCGCGAACATTCTGCTCAGTAACTGAGATAATAGGATTTACAACTTTCGGAAATGTCGTTAAGTCGCTATCAAAATGAAAGCGCGTAGGTGAAGTAATCCGGAGAGGAAATCTTTAGCGGCTTCGTCGGTCAAGTAAATGTCAGAAAATTTTCCAACGCCTAATTTCACCCAGTAACAATTGTACTTCCGATGTTCCGGTGCCATTCATTTCCTATCGTTGCCCGTCAGTTCAGAAAGATTCCCAGGATTCTGCAACATTCTTTGGGTCGTGGAAGAAATCAAAGAAGATTTCATGTTATCCGCGCTTTTCGGTTGGGAATTAACATCTCGAAAAAGCATTCTGTCATTCGCTCGGCCTGTGAAAAAAAAAGAACGCATAGGTTAGAGCCATCATATTTAACTTGTTCTAATCAAAGGCGCAGTATTTTTTGGCATATCTCGCGATTCAAATAAGGGTGCGTTTAATTGGTTGCATTCCACAGTAAATTTGGTTATGTAAAAAAGTTGCTGCCAATTCCTTTCATCAAAGCCATTAGAATGCTTCAACACGATTTTTTTACTAGAGAGAGTAATTTCAGTTTCTGGTTCAGAAATAGGGTGCTCCGTATATGTGAGAATATGACCACACTAAAGGCGGAAGACATAGAAAGACGCATCCTGATCCACGAAATTAAAGCTATTAAAGCAAAGTCTAAGTTAGAAAAAAAGCATTATTTAAAGCAGCCATTCAGAAGGATGCTGAAAGGGAAGGACAGCTCGAAAACGTAAGGTGGAAACTTTACACGCAATCAATGATATACGAAAATTAAATTCATTGAAGCCAAGTCTGACAGTAAGTTATGGGTTAAAATACCTAACGTAGTGTAAGTAACCTAAGACGCCCATTTAGAAAGTTGCTAAGCTCGGCAAAACTTATCGGGTGAAGCAAGACAAGATTTTGCTGTCTATAATATTGGCTAGCAGGCTAAAAAAGGTCTTAATGTTAAAACCTTGATCTATTTTCCACCACACATTTTCCGAGATTTTGGTGGAGAACTCTTAAATTTTGTGAAAAACAAAAACATTCTCAAGTGGTTATACCCTATAGAGAAGGAGAAATATAAAGGAAACTTTGCGGAATTTTTCAACGCAAAAAAGTGCCTTTCGTAGCAATTTCAAATGTTTCCTAAACTGACAATAGCGCAGCTGTGTTTCAGATGAAATTTTTCTGTTTCGGTCTGGCAAATACGAAATTTTATCCGTTTGAGTATACAAAAACAATTATACTACTACATGAGAAATTTCTACAATTTGATTGGCTTAGAGCAGTAGTATTTCAGCTTAATTTGAAATACCTACATGTGAAAATTACAAACCTTTTGTGGGTAGTAGTATAAACAAATAATAGCATGATTTGTACCTGATATTTGGCAGAAATACCACTCGTGATATTTCAAAATTGTCTCAAATTTCATTCGCCTAACGGCTTGTGAAATTACGTATAACAATTTTGAAATATCACTCGTGGTATTTATGCCAAATATCACTACAAATCATGCTATTACCTATACTAATAGCTAAAGAACGAATGGAATTTAACTTGAGTAGTAATTCATAGAACAATTCATAGAACGTAACGCCTTAAAAAGGCAAGAAGCCAACAAATGCCCCTAACAAGTTTCACAGCTGCTGAAAATCAAACAACGGGAACATAGGCTGAATAATGAGCGACACACCCACTGATACCGCTGTATTTAAGGGTAATTGAAACTTTCCTAGCGGATACCTCTGTGATATGGACACCTTTTCATAATGTTCCCTGTTTTAATGGGTGGGGGGCGGGAAGTCCAAACCTCTTATCTGTCTGTTTAACCCTTCCTCTTTTAACATTGGCCAAAATGAGAAAAAAAATGACAACTTACATTTGTTTTGTAACATCCTAAGAAGCTCTTCGAAAAAATAGCACTATACCAAAGTTCTAACGAAAAGGTTTCATTTAAATGGTACGTACTGAGCACCATAGAATTTCGTTCACAAATTCAAACGTTACATTAACGAATCGCACCAGCATCACACAATATAAGGGCGGAAGGATTTTAGAGGATTTGGTGAAGCTGTATGGTGAAACTTTAAATACCTCCCACTATAAGGTATTAACGGAAGTCCGAGATTAATACGCAACCAACCGCCAAGGACGTGAGTGTATACTCTGAGAGACTGTCCGGAATATACATCTCCATGAACGTCGAACTGACAATCAAAAGAATTATTCCCGCCCACTGATCAAGAAACTACTTCCGACGTCTCCTAGTTTAGTTAATTATTTTTCGTGGTTTTAGCTTTCTGTGTAACTGTGTTTTTTTAAAAATTATTATTATAACATTGACTCTGAAAAGCCCTGTGGGGACAAGCCAATAAAATACTTATGTATCTATGTATGTAACTTTGAACATTCTCGTTATTCTAAGTAAAAAGATTTAGATGCCTTTCCCAGTCTTGGGCCCGCAGTGATGTATCATGCTCTGCTCATGATAACCATCTGGTATCTCAGTCCTTTCACTAGCCTCGCCGACTAGCCCTTTCCTTTGTACCATTCTAGTATTCTTCAGTTTAGTCCCTCATACTAATTTGTAACATCAGTTGCTCATAACAAATGAAAACAAACACAACGGGCATTCGCACTTCTCTCGCAAAAAGGGAAGAAACTCTGACAGCAAGTGCGAGCAAGCACTAATCGGAGTTGGTCATCTGGAACTTTTAAGATTACCTCTTTAAGCGTCCTCCCTGCCAACATGTAATTTCCGGACTTTTTCAATTTTGGAGAGCTGCAATTATAATAAAAATAGGGCGTGTTTTAGTAAAAGTGTTAAGTTTATTAAGTCTCTGTTTACTTCTTTTGTTTGTTATTGTTGTTGCAGTTGCGCAGTTATTTTTATTAAACGAGGAACTTCTAAAATTTGATAACTTAGTTCCGAAACCCGTAGTAGAATGCCGAGGGCTACCACTTTTCTCGCCAAAATGACGCTTCACGCGTGCGCACTACTTAATAAACCATGAACCAACCCTTCCATCGATTTTGAACGCACAAACACTTCTCATTTTTAAGAACTCCTGAGTGCTTATACTAGGTTAACAAATTAATATAACATTTTAATCACAGTTACCCTGCGTTAGTATCTTCCTCCATCTTTTTATTATAAATACACTCACCTGTCACACAGTGTATCATAACATGTGACAGCACCGTCACGTAACACAGCCATGACAATACAAGGCGTCTTGGAAAGTTGAGCAGCCTAATTTACAAAAAAATAGAGACATTGATATTGATATCTTTAATGTAATTAGAACAAAGTTTAAAATGCCATGCTTTGAAAAGAAAAAAAAGGAGGGAAATTAGGTGCAAGAGTAGCAACGCAAATTACCGCAGATAACCTAGCCTCCCCGCAGACGTCTTTTGGGGTTCGTTCGCTCGTTCGTTCGTTCGTTCGTTCACTGGTTTTCTGCAGAAAGACCTGAGGCCTTACTTCTGACCACGTTTTGAGTGCCACTATCATCTTCAGAGCTAGAGCGATTTTCGTATAACCTTGAAATGAAAACGCGCGAACAAAACAGAAACAACAAGAGGACGGAAATAAAGCGATTTGATTGTTTTTTATCGAACGGACACAAACACACGTAGTCTGCTACACAGCCGTTTTTAGAGTCGTCACGCAACGCTCCTCCCCACTTTGTGGGGAGGAGCTTTGCGTGACGACACTAAAAACGGCTGTGTAGCAGACTAAAACACACGTTAAGCGAACGCTCGGCTGAAAAAACATCATGCCCGAAGAACTTTCTAGAAATCGCTTCGACGTCATACTGTAACACGATTGGTCAATCGAACAATGCCTTCTCCATATTAGGGTTTTCTTAGGCGTGAAAACGAAGAGTCCATGTTTTGTTCTTTTCATCCATTGGCTGATAAAACAAATAACAAACACTTACCGAAACCATTTTTCAAGGAAATACTAAGATCGCTCTATCGCCTAACTGAGAGCTAACTTAGCATTTTAAAATGAAAAAATACATAAATATACCAAAGTGATGAACAACTAATAATAAAAATAATAATAACAGTTATTTCTATAGCGCCATTTCCATAGCCTGCGTAGCAGGCGTCGAAAGGGGTAGGGAATAGGGGATAGGGAGGAAGGGAAAAAGGGGAGGGCTACATTTCCATTGCTGTAAAATCCATATGGGCATTGACGTGTCTTAGAATAAGTGGAACTGCACTACAACGATGCTGAACTGCAGAATTCATATTGTCTGTGGCAGGAAATAACAGCGAATGCTTCAGGTTAACGAGGAAAGTAATTTCCGAGATGGCAAATATGCGTGCACACAAGAGTAACCTCAATATTAAGAGGCGGTATAGTTTGTCAAGTCATTAAGCAGCGATACAAGGCCTTTAAACGGGTTGGGTGATGGTATTTTCAATGCTTCGCCTAATTATATTTTTTTCTCTGCGAGAGTTAAACTACAAATGGTTTTAAAAGAGAAACGCCTTCTATAAGAGAGCTGATTAAAGTAAAGGTGTTTTTGAGTGAAGCACGTCTACCGGAAGTGATGCATTTTAAGTTTTTAAATATCCCTTGACGCTAATAAATTTGTATTACTAAGTTTCTTTACTCTTACAGAGACGATTTGCCGGACGCAATTTTTGGGCAAAACCATGAATGACAAAAGTCCACTTCCGGTTGATCGACGTGCGTCGCTCAAAAACTTCTTCATGTTTGTTTATGCTCCCTATTGACAAAATCATTGCCTCATAACACTGATAACAAACATATATGAATGACGGAGCCTTTTGAGTCACCCAAGGATACAAACTGAGAAAAAAAGTTGGTTCACTGTTTTTAAAGTTTATCTGGAAATAATCAGTTTTAAATTCTTAAGTTTGCCTATCCTTCCTACTTTTTAGCTTTTCTGTGCTTCTTTTTGTGATTTCCTACGGTTTCAAGTACTTATTTTGATGTTCAGGTTTCATGCCAAGCGCTCCCCTCCCCTCCTGTCCAGAGGCTCCTTCTTCCCCTTCCCATCCCCCAGAGTCTGTGCACGTAAGGCCGTACCGTCACGAGTCTATCACGTGATTACCGAACGAAAAAGGCTGTCCATGGTCTATAGAGAATTTTTATTATTCACATGGCCAGCATCTATGCAAATTTATTGGAACAAAAGAAAGCGTTTGTATAAGTAAAGAGTTCAACTCCCACAGGACTGGTTTAGGACACCAACATGGCCGCCGTTTCATTGTTTTGGGACACCAATATGGCCGCCGTGACGTCATACGAAAACACTCTATGAAAAGCTGTACTGATCCAAAACAGCTATTATATGTGATTGAGCCGTTATGGACTGAAATTGCCTAAAAAGTGCCAATAGTGATGAATTTGTTAACGTTATCCCAATTAATTCTCTCACAGGTTCCTTGACAAAAAACGACATCTAAAAATGCAGTGCTTTGATTGAAGATTATGTTTAGTGACTTGACTTCTGCGATCACACAACATTCACCTGTCATTAAATGGAAGGTGAATTAGTGTGACTGAGAAATCAAACCCGTCCGTCACCGAGAGCTCACTAATTCTTAACTACAATGATTTGCAAGTAGTAAAGCCTTGTTTTACATCTACAATGCAAGTACAAGTGGAGCAAAAACCCAGGCACAGACAACTGCTAGTCATGTTATTAGGACAAAAACCACCGATTACTGTATTTAGCAAGTTACTGCGACGCACGTGTTACTTGTGCCTATGCTTACGATGTTAGGCAATAACATCGTCAATCACAGTTGTGAAATTGTTGTGCATTGAATTAAAGTGCTAGATCTTTTCGGCATTCCTATGAAGAAAGGCATCAGCTAGAGGCTTGGGCTGACCAAACACAGTGATTTGTATGAAACTGTCCATCAATAATCGTGTTATGTCTCTGAAACGAAATGCTGCAATTCCAACCTCGTCCCCTGGACGCTTTTCCAAAGTCAGGGAAAGGCGCCCTGGGGTCGATGTTGCTGCAATTCGCCACATTAGAAACGAGAAGGAAACTGGGACGAGTTAACTTTCGCAAAGACTTCTGGGACTGTTACTAGGGACAGGGAAAAATTGGCCAATAGCTGACCGGCGCGTCATCAGTAACGATCCCAGAAACCATTGCGGGATACGTTTCGGCTAGAGTCCCCTTTTCTTTTCTTAAGTCGAATGGGGAATGCTTTGGTTATTCTAAAATTTAAAGTTAAAAATTACATTAGGCTGATTTAGAAACAGAACCGGAACATAAGTTGACGACAGGAAAGCGCGCGAAAAGGATTGAACGCGACTTGCGGTGCCCAATTGGAGGCTCTGCAATTGGTCAAGCCAGTTGTTTTATTATATTTGCGCGCGCCGTGGTCACTGCCGTCGCGTTATTTTTGCTAAATCTGCCTATTAGCGGTATGCCTACAACCCAGATTACTTAAACCTCAAGGCACTTCACTGAGATGAACACAAGAGGCTACGCCCTTACTAGGTGATGAGCTTTCCAACCAGCAGGCAAACAACCGCTGTACAACTTCGCACAGTCTGCGGCCTCGGCCACTCCAAGCAGCAGCAATCTGAGCCCAATGAAATGAAAGCCAGCGGTAAGTAGCGCTTCTATGATCTCTGCATAGTTGATACCAGCTCCCCGCCGACTGCTATGCTGAGCTCGGCAATCGAGCATTTGCGGCAGTAATAATAAACAGTTGATCTCGAGCAAGGAACTTGGTAATAACGTCATTCCTGGGCCAGTATCGACTTTGGCTTGTTCTTCAGCGGTTAGCTTCACCAGCTCTCTCTTGGCTGTGACGCTGAAAATATCGTCCAGTGCGAGGCATGGGATCTAGAAGCAGAAATTAAAACCGTTGAACATGCATGAAATTTAAAAGTAATCCTAGATTATTGTGGCTTTTATTCTGCGAACTATACTGACATGGGAATTTTTGTTTGCACAATCCGTGACAATATATTTGGCTTCCTGTAACTATTTTCTTCTTCTACTGAATACACGACAGCTGACACGATTTGTTGATGTGCAATCTGTCTGGCCAACGTTAACATAAAAAGGTACTTGGAAAGTACTTACAGTAAACTGATCAATAAAAACAGCTACTAGACGGCGATTGCGATTAACTGAAGCGAACTGACTGACCGACATAAAAGTAAAATCTCTGCTATCTGCGGTATGGCTTTCACTGCTCCAATCTCGTTCCCAGAGGTCGCGATCCTCCGCTGGACAAAAGTAACAGAGGCTCTGGAGACAAGATTGCCATTGCTCCAGATATAACTCTGCGCATGCGCAGGTACTGGCCATAGCGCGGAAATCACGGAGTTGCTGCTTTCTAACCATTTTGTTGAATTCTTTTTTTGGTTTTTTCTTACTGACATACCTTTTCTGCCTTGAGGTCGATGGAAGGTGGACAGCAAACGCCTTCAGCAAACAGAAGCTTCACATCTCGGATGGCTTCCTCGTATGTAGCAGATCCTGAGATAAAGTGACCGTGTAAGAAATTATGAGTATGGAAAAACCTTCAAATATGATGAGTAGACTGGTAAACAAGTGCATTCAAGGTTCGGAAACTCCTATTTTAGTTTTTTTTTGTTGTTGTTGCTGTTGTTTTTTGTTTCAGAGATTATGACTGAGGTCGAGCAAATCAAATACTAGGTGAAAGACTGGCTATCATTTCAGCTATGACTAAGATTGCCATATAAAGGTACAATCTTGAACAAATATGTTACAAAGTATGGAGGTTGCCATGTCTAGTGACTGGAAATTTTAAATTTTTCCCCCAATTCCCAAAGAAACAAAGTCCCGCTAGATCATTTTCCCCCCACCCAACTGAACAACATTTACCAAGGTGGGGTGAGGGAACGGGTCGTTATGGGACAAAATCGGCGGGATGGACGCCCTCTGAGTAACAAAGTGTAAAATTTTTAACACTTTTTATCCAAGATTGTAGATTCTGAATATTACTGATGAGAGAATTAAGACTCTATGCGTGACAAAGGGTGACAGAAACAGATAATACGGAGCTTAAGCAAAGGCGTTTTTGAGCGACGCACGTCAACTGGAAGTGAGGTCTTTTTCAGTTTAAGGTACCTTGACGCCACCAAGTATGTATTTCCAAGTGTCTTTACTATCACAGAGACAATTTGTCCAAATATTTGGGCAAAAGCACCGTCCAAAAATGAAAAAAAGACCACTTCCGGTTGACGTCTTTGCTTAAGCTCACTATTAAATCTTTTAGCAAAGAAAAATCAGCTTAAAATTTTCCCCATTTTCTGTCACGTACCGTAAAAGGCATTTCGAACAGAATCCTCTCCAAATGAACCTCGCAGAAAGAACTGAGACTGTCGCTTTGCCAGACGAGCATCACTGGGCCCCAGTACCTCTTGAAGACGCCCCACAGCATTTTCACGCTGAAGACAGAGCGCCAAGACAGGACCGGAATTCATGTGACTAACATGACGCTGAAGGTCTTTCTCCTGCAATGCCACATCAAAAGGGCGAGGGAATGATAGGGTACATTATTATTCATTCAAAATATTTCTCCGTTTCTGATTGGCTCACATCCCACGACTCATTCTTCATAACCTGATAGCTTGACCAAATTTGGAAGACGTTTGCGATACTCGGAAAATGACGTCACTAGTACAGAATAATCACCAGAAAAGGGGAGGGCAGCCGAGTAGCCCTGGGGACAAGGTTGCATTGTTTTGGTAGAACAGTAAATGTTCGACCAAACGGAAATATAAACTCTGGTGATCTATGGTGAGATCCATATTACCAAAATTTCCCATCTTTTGCAACTATCGAAAAAATAAGCCAAAATCTAAATACAAAATATGATAAAGCTTGCTGATTTCTTCCTCTTCTGTCTCATTCAGCGATGATTTTCAAGAAGTTGAAGCCTAAATACTCTTGTGGAACCAACAATGGGAAAGAGGGAAGGGGGGGTAGGGTGTAGTACGTGTACTCGTACAAAGACCTCGTCTACTGCGTGTTTTGAGAAGTCTCTTTGTTGTGACCGACAGTGTAGTTCAGTTGAGCTTTCACTCCATACCCAAACGCATGACAACCACAACATGTTGCATCTTTACACAGTTTTCCTTTTCTTGTATCTAAGTTTTCAAAAGGTCAACTAAACCGCTTAACGAACAATAAACTATCTCCATAACGTTTATAAAATTGCTTTGCAAAGAAATCGCCCACTCCTGGTGATGTTTCGTATAGAAATAAGAGGAAATTTTGTCAGTCCATTCTCACCTGATTAGCCATCAAAGTGGATGCGTCTACAGACGACAGGATCATCATTTTCATGCCAGCCACAGAGAATCCCTCCTGACCAAGGCGCTTGAGCACTTTGCCAAGATGCTTAGACGCGATGCCTGGCTTCAGAATACATACTGTGGGTATAACGCGGGGTTTTTCCAGCAAGCTCTGGAGTACTGGCATATCCTCATATCTTAGCGTCTCCACACTGCCAAGAGAGGCCTTCAATGGTGACTTGCTGAGACCCATTTTCCGGTTTCTCTGTTTCCTAGAACCGTCGGCTTCATTCAGGGACTCACTGCTACCACTAGAACCACTTCTTACTACTCTCCGGGGTGGGGGCAGGAGGTGAAGGTTCCTACGCGCTGATTGGTCGGAGAACAATTCCCTGTCAAAGAAAACGACTGACAGCTGCCGGCAAGCCAGTTCAGGCGTGCAGGACATTAGCATTTCCTGAGAAATGATGTCTTTAGAAAGTTTTGCTTTGGTCAGATCTGAATGCGATTTTACAAAGCGTTGCAGTCGCACAAAAGCATCGACTCCTCTCAGAGCTAAGACCAACGCAGGGCCCGATGTCAGGCTTTGGAGGCTTCTTTTCCACAACGCGTCACCAATTTTACAGGGGGTAACCTCTTTAGCCTGATGCATGGATAGCGAAGGGAGAAGTTTGAGCCCTAAAAGTTCAAATCCACACCTGGAAGACAACTTTTCTTTCGTAGCCTCTACCCCTTCTCTTTCTAGAAGAAGCTCACTAAGAACCTCTCCAGCAGAGATGGTAGCTTTCTCCTTCAACAGCGTTACAACGCAGACTTGCTCTAGTTCAGGATTTGAGTGAAAAGCATGCCTCAGAAGATCCACAGGGTAGGCAGCTGGGTCCGGACAATGCGAAAAATCACCGCCAAGGTGTTTGAACATGGAGTCAGTATAAGGCACGCAGAGAAAACTCGACTGAGGCAATCCGATGGAGTCTGCAAGTGGTTTGAGAACTGACATGGCATGATGAATTGCGTTTTCACGACTGAGTAAGAGAATTGTAGATGCCACTGGTGAAGGTGTCTTAAAGACGCCATTCGATTGTTTTTCACGTCTGGGACAAAACGCAGACAAAATTTCAGGTGCAAGACCCAATCCGGCAAGGTGATTGGGATTTAATCGCAAGCGTTTGATTCCTTGAGGACTAAAGCCTTTTTCAAAGCACATGCAGAGCACCTTTCCTAGATACCTAACGGGAACAGCCGGTGAAAGGACGAAGAAAATGCGTGTGTCAATGACTGCGGTCAAAAAGTGCGGTGGCGGTCTGCAAGTGGTGTAAAGGGAACTCGTAAGAAGTTCCTGGGCTTTGGCAGCATTCCGTCCCTTTCCACTAGGCGAAACTTTATTTTTCTTATCATGCACCTCCAAAGGGTCATTAGACCCGATGTTTACAACACCACTTTCCGGGACCCGACCTCCAAACCATCGTGCTAGAGAGGTCCCCGCACTCTGCGAATTTCTTGGGCACCAAAATAAGTGGTCTGCCTTTGCTCCGTTGCTGTACAGGGCTCGTAATGAGTTGGGGTCCGTTCGTTGTGCGAGTTTAGCATCCACAGGACCTACCTCGTCCTGCCACCTTGAGATGGCCTGGGTACCACGAAGTGCAATCACCAAGACGGAAATCTCGGCTGGCGTTTGTTCAGGTAGCAATGAGATCGGAAGTGGAGACTCATTCGCTGTGAAAAAAAGGAGCCCTTAATTAACTTATTGACGTTGCTATGTTGTGTTGTAAAGCACACAGGAGAGCGTGTTATATCTGAAGTTTACTAAAATTTCTCTTATCCTCTGTTCGCTAATCTATTTAATTGCTTCCTTACAGTATGACTGTGTTAGACTTGTTCAGGCAAAAATCAATTTAAGGTCATAAGAAACTCCCTCGTTCCAGAGGCTGATCAACTGCAAACAAGGGATCGCTTCCATGGAATATCTACCGTATATTTTAATCTAACGTTTATTTCTAATTTACTTGAAACTGACTTTCCTTTGCTTTAGCAACGACGACGGCGACGGCAAAACGAACGTCAAATACGCAATAATTTCCTTCAACATTTGCTGAATGGAAAGCAGTCTAAGTCGGTTTAATCGAGAAAATGTGGTGCACACAAAGACAAAGTCTACCGTCGATTTATACCTGATTTTTCCTTGGGATATTCTCTGTGGTAAGCCAGCCTTAGACCAGAAATATCCATAGCCTTGTTGCGTGCGCGCATCAGCACATCAACCAAACAGAACGGCGAATGAAACACCGCATGTTGTAGCAGCATCACCGTGTTCTGAATCTCAGGTCCCTGGCAAATTTTACCTCCGGTTTTCTCTTCAGTCGGGTAATCTTCCAACTCCATTGTCTGCCAGAAGAATCCGGGCTTGGCTCCAAACACACGGTGCACGGCCTCTGGGTCCGAGTTCACAGTTAGCAGGGTGGACAAATTCCTCTTGCTTGTCATTATCTCTGTGAGGTATTCGGGAATAGGCGTGAATTCAGAAAAGCGAGCAAAGACAGTGTGTAGTGAATTGGTAGAGAGAAACTTGCTAACAGCCTGTCTAAAAGAGTTGCTTGCTTTGGATTTCTTTTGGTTTTGCCCTATCTCAGCACGACTGCAAATCCCAATATCAATCTTGAGCTGTCCTTCATGCCAGCTTTGCTGGAAGCCTACGACATAGAACGGTGCATCACACACCTCAGCATAATCTGTAGTGTTCACACTGGGAGTTACTAAACAGGCCAGAAAGGCTACAAGGTGTGAGAAGCAGTGTGTATCCGGAGTAGTCGCTCCTCTGGTTCCCTGGCGGATGACAGACAGCTCTCCGCAGCTTGATAGTTTGGTGCTTAACAGTAGATAAGAAGTATTTGCTTCATAATCTGGTAAACTGATAACATCATTCTCGTATGACGCTTCCTGAGAACAGAGAATGACAGTGCAAATATTACTGATTGAAAGGGATCTTAACCCTTTAAGTCCCAATAGTGATCAACATCAATTTTCTCCTACCAATATCCATGCATTGCCAAGAGATAAGGTTATGAGAATTAACAAAGATTACGAAAGAGAAAATGCCTCAATCTTATATTAAATTCTCTCAACTAATTCTTAAAGGAAATGTATGGAGACCAGTTTGGAGAATTTGTATGTTGATATTGGGACTTAAAGAGTTGAAGGATTCAACCACACTGATTCAAGGAAGGTTGCTTTGGGCATTAGGAATTGCGGCACTGCGAAGCTATTGTTTGCTGGTCTCTTTCATGTACATTGTAAGCAGGTCATTGCAGTGAATTCTATCTGCCCAAATGCTTAAAGCCCAATGGCCAATGACCTATTGCCAAAGCAACGTTTATTGAATTATAGGTATCGTGATTAGCAGTGGGTTAGAGACAAATGACAGTATTTGGTTTGTTCTCATTAGGGTAAATCTCAGACATCTTCATCTGAAAATTCCCCTGAAAGTCCCCACTTAAGCCACGCATGTCAGGGTTGCCCAAGCACTTAAGTCACCCGGGGTTTGGGGGGGGGGACTCCCTTATATAAGCCATACAGGTATGTGCCGCCCCAAAGGGTATGGTTTTTGCAACGTTTCGGTCTGAAAACGGATAAAGATTAGCCCATTTTGGTGTGGAAATGGGTATGGTTTTCGAGGAAACTACGGGAGTTTATAAACGTATTTATCGGTTCAATTCCAAATGAATCAGAAAGAAAGAGTAATATGTGAATTCGAAATGGATTATAATGAATCCTTTTTTGATTGAGCTCTGGTCTAAGAAATTTCTAACTACACCAGGTATGAAAACAGCTATGGATTTAAGACGCTGGGTCTGAAAACGGGTGTGGAAAATAACATTTCTTAAGTCTGAATTAGGGTCAGGATTTTGGAGAACTACCCAACCGGGTTATGTCAAAAGTGACTTCCTCCTAACCAAGTCATCAGGGACCTTACGAAACTACGATGGCGCCGGTAACGGGAACGCCTAAAACTCAGTAGCTTTATGAAGCAAAACAACAACTCGTGGACTCGTGCACGTGGATCAAAGTTTTTTGTAAAATAATTTCTATTCCGTCCCAGCACAACTAGGGCGTGAAAAACAAAAATTGGTGGTGAAATTAGATACTGATCAGTCATTTACATTACCTCGTGGAAGAGAACAGGTGTTAAAGGTGCAGCTGGGTGGCGCCCATGGGAAGATCTCTGAGGTTTTAAGTTCTGGAGACTCCTTAGAAGTCTCTGCCTTTTTGACTTCTCCTCCTCTGTTAGTACTTGTTTATGTGTAACATTGGCCTTCTTTAACTCCTGAGTCCTTGATGAGCTCAGATCCTTCCTGACAATGTCATTGATAGTTCTCAAATCATTTCTCTGACTCGGACTAACCTTGCTATCAACCGTCGCCCTATTTTCATTTTTTGTGAAAGGTGAAGGAGCATGTTCCTCAACATGAACAAGATCATTCTTTGGCGCTTTCTTGTCTAGAATTGCATTGTCTACATGCAGTTTGTCATTTTTAAGATCTGACTTATCTACCCAAGCCTTCTTTGTGCCATGAACTATTTCATCTTTCGACAATCCACGTGTCTTTGGCAAATTTTCTGACTTCTGTGATGTTCCAAGCTCCGGCACCTTCTTTTCATTTTCAACAGCCACATAAACAGTCCTTTTGTCAGAAATTGGCTGCACATTTTTAACATGAAATCTTTCAAAAATCTCCTTGTTGGCTGGTTTCCTTTGGTCAACCACATTTTGATGCTTAACTGCAGAATTTTTTGTGTGGCTCTCTTTCTGCCTTGCACAGGACAAAGAAGCCTCTTTTGCCTTTCGCCTCTGATCCTGCCAATGTTGAAGGTCTTCTTCCTCATCGGAGCTGCTTGACAAACTGAAGATTAAATAAAAGTCAAGGCTATGTTATGAGCTGAAACTACCTTAATAGTGCAGCTTATTTCAAAGACATAGCTCGAACTAAACCCAAACAATGCTTAATAGCGAACAAGACTTTACAAAAATCGATGCAATGACCACTCTTTTTGATTAAATATCAAGCTGAACAAATAAAAAAATGACATCCCTAGGGCAGCAAATGGAATTGCTTGAGAAAACACAATCTTGAAATTTCCAGGGGACAAATTGGATCCTTCTACTCTGAAAAATTAAAACTGGAAAAATAAATTAAGTTACTTACTTGGTGGAATCATTGCTGATACCTAGTATCCTGCATATTGAAGATGGTAATGTCTGGTGACTCTTTATGAAAAAAGATCAATAAACAGTTATTCATTTATGAGAAAAATATATGGTCAGATCACAGATGGCATGTTTTTGGGTGAAACCTAATGTTCACCCACATTTTTACCAAGACTGTAAATCATATACAGAAAGATCCAACTTCAGCTAGATCTTATTCTTAGCTTGCGTACTGAAGAAGACTGTGCTAGGCAGCTGAAAGCTTCAATCCTTGGTATATTATTTTCATTTAGACTTGTAAAATTCATGAATTATTCATTAATAAAAGTTACGACCAATCAATAGGTACACTGTATTATGACTCCTCTATATGGGGCTATTCTGTCGTAATATACAATAATAAAATTACAATGGGGCAAAAAAAAATTTACGTCTGTTAAAACAAGAAATATTTACATGAGTTTATATACAGTCATAAAAATTTGATTCAATCTAAGAAGAGTTTGCAAGAAGGTGGGTGGCGACTTTCCTTTTAAAACTTGAAAGTCTTTTAAAACTTTAAAGTCATGATCACTACCTGTGAAGAAGTATCTTCCTCAAGGCTTCTTAAGTCCAGGAACACAGTGTCATTAGATCTGCTTTGAGTGGAAGGATCTAACGATGCTGTGACTCCTACAGAGGCCACAGATGGACTACTCATCACACTGACATCATGCGTCTTGTGGACAGCACTTTCCAAACTGCGTGGTGATAGGTGATCAGTGGGACTATTGGGTTCAGGAGCAGCATCATTCTGTTGCTTTCTACTTAGTCTTATAAGCTCTTCCATTAAGCTGTTGCCACTGCCTTCGGAATCACTGTCGTCACTGTCACTGAGAGTGGGTGGAAATACTGGCGAGACAGTAACCTCATTAGTACGCTGGAGAAAATCGCCAAGGTTCAAGTGCTTTATCAGATCAAATCTAAGCTCCACTTTATCAGGGTTATTGACATCTTGAGTAAGTGTCTCAGGAGATATGCCTTTGGATTTAGAGGTTTCAGAAAACAGGTCAGTATCAGCTGGAACTGTCATTTTTTCTAGAGTTGATGGCAGCGTAGCAGGTGAAGAGTCAATCAATTCAATGCTATCCTAAAGTAGACAGTTAATGAATAAACTGTTAGAAAACTTAAATAAATGGCTAACAATAGAGAGTTTAAGAATTAAGTATACGGCAAACGGCAAACAGCAAACATCAGATTCAAGTTGAGAATTTCTCAAAATAGAAAATGAGCTGATAAAAACAGCTCAATTATTGTTGTTGAAATAATGAACAGTAAACGACAAAAAGGGCGTTATTCTGCCCAACCCTTTCCTCGAGAACAATGACAACTTTACGCACTCATGAGCAGTGATTATGAGCAGCAGACAGGCAGATTCAGATCTACAAGCCAGTGGGATACCAGACCAACTTATCCAATACCTATTAGCAAAGGGAGGTCTGACCTCAAATTAAAATAATTTTTCTCGCCCCTCCAGAATTCAGTTTGGCCTAAAAATATTGATGGCATGGGCAACTTGGGAACCTCCCATGACAGCCTTATAACCATGTATAATGGTTTTTTTTTGCAGAGAATGTACTGAACTCAAAGGCCCATGCACATACTTTTTTTGTGCCAGTAACTCCAAACTTACAAGGAGGGCACGGAGTATCATCATTGAATGTTATATATCACAGTTAAATTCAGACCTGGGTTGATTCTCAATTTTGCTCGTCTCACCTCATGAATTAGGGCTGGGAGAAAAAGGAAATTGAGAGTCAACCTAGGTTAAAAATTTGTACGTGAAAACATTTAATTTTGACCTGTAACATACAAAAGGTAAGATTGTAGGGAGGAGAGTACCCAAAGAAGCAGATTTTTAAGGGACATTGCATATTTGCAACCACCATAACCTAACTAGTTTGTAAAAATGCAGGTCATTATTACCAATATCTTGCACACCTTTCAAAAGATTTTACCACATAGTTTGGTAAGAAACTAAAAAATTTTTAACCTCCCCTTTACCCTTCGGTTATAAAACCTTATCACCTCAAACTCTTAATTACATCCCCCAAATTTTCAAAAAAGAAAATAAAGGAAAAGAAACCTGTTCACTATCTGAGAGTGATGAGATGCTCCGTCCATCAGGGCTGACAAGGGACAAACCACTGTCTGAAGCATTGGCAAAAGGAGAAGAGACTTGTTCACTGTTTTTAAGGCTACTTTGTGCCAAAATATCTGGGGACAGTGGCCATGCTTTTCTTGTATACAAGACTGGTTCTTCACTGTCATTGCTCTCCTGCAAAGCAATTTTATTGTGAAGTTAAATTGGATCCTAAAAACTTTCCTTTTCACCTCACTTCTGTAGAGACTGTGTTGTTGAAGACAAAAACAGTCAATAAACAGACATTTTTATGATAAAGATCTAGACACACCTTCTTAAAACAGACACCTAGAGTTGATCCCTACCTTTCTTTAGTCATTTGATTTTCTAAGAGGCAATTACCTCTCATAAGTTTGACATCTCTCTAAAATGGACATCTACTATTGATTTTTGCCATTCTTAAACTTTTCTCAGGGTAAGAGAAAATTTTACAAATCATCTTCCCTTTGGAGAAGCTATTGGTGAAGTTTAGTGGCCTGGAGAAGTCCTGCAGGCCTGTGAACCCCTTGTTCCCTTACATTTACTTTATTTTGCTTGCCTATAGGACAACTTGTAATTACTTGTACTGGAACATGCTAGCCCAGTGGATTGCTCCTCCAGCCCCAAGCTATTTAGTCTCCTTCATGTCACTCTAGGGTCATCACTTAACGCTCCTTCCTCCTCTTTTGGGAAGGACTATTGTGTGATGACCCTGAAATCAAGTGCTACTTCTATTTGAAATGACTCTCATTTTGACTCTCAACGCTGTGCACCTTTTTAAACCTGATACCCAGTGGTCAGGGTTGTCATTAGTAACGTGTAACCACCTTTTTTTGCCGGCTACTGTAGTAAAATCAGCTGGCTACTCTCAGTTTGAAAACGAGTCAAACATAATTTCCATGCAGTTGAACACATTATTTTTGCCTGCAGCAATTTCATATTATTTCACTCAAATATGTAGTCAATACAATGGAGTCGAAACATGCATCCATAATAAATGTATGGCGTTGTGCGGAAATCTTACCGAGTAGGTTCTTTTGACGTGATTGAACCTTAGTTGTTTGATATCGACTGTTACTTAAACCTTGAGAGTAAGTGTACATGTTGCCTAAGCAACAAAGATTGTCACAAGCTATCAGGCGGTTCAATTTTTAACGTAATTTCAAGGAAAGCAACTTAAGTACAATTTTGCCTCTTGTTATTTCCTTACCTCTGAAGAATCTTCTAAGTCCAAGGTAGGAATACTAGCTTGAACATCAGCGAAAATGTCATCAAACACAGGCTTCAATTTACACGCACCGGCGGCAGTTTCAAAACCTCCAGGAACCCCATGAGAAACTTCCTCCTCCAAACTTTCATCGCTGCTGGAGACCACCTCCTCACTCTTCCACATAACTTGTTCAGAATTAAGGAACTTTAAAGAAACTACCTCTGGCTGGTTTGCATTTGCGCAAAACAACAATAAACTAAAGAAAACGAAATGAAAGTGTTTATAGCTTGGACAAAGTCTGACGCCATCTTGTCAACCGCAAACTTTCGCCAGGCCTCTTCCATCATCACGCGGTATTCAAGATGGCGATTTTCAGTGTGTACATCTTGAATCGAGCCGGGGGACTTATTTATCATTACGACCACGTTACGCCAAAAAGCGAAGTGGAACAAGCATTTAGCTATCCTTTAGACATTGTGCTACGCGAAGATGATAAAATAATAGTGATTTTTGGTGAAAGAGATAATATAAAAGGTAAGTTTAAATAGACCTTGTCACGGTTTTCGACGCCATCTTGACGAGTAGGCAAACGCGTGAGAAATTACAGTGTTTGTATGAGAATCTAATGTTGAATAATTTCCGTAAAACGGCCGTTCTGGAACAAATATCAATTGCAAACTAAAGCTGCAAAGCAAAGGATGGTCCTAAAAAAAATTTGGAGACGTACCCGTGCTTAAATTTCTCCAGAGGCTTGCTTTAGCTTTTCCATATGTTTGTCTGTAATTTTCGCGGGACTTTCCTACAGACAAATGTATAGGAAATTTAAAAAGTGGTTCTAGGCCTTCTAGTGCATGTAACGCCCTCAAATTTTCTCAGTAAAATCCTTAGGAGTGAAGCTTTAGTTTAAAAATCATATTTTTTTCAAAACAGCTGTTCTACGGAAATTATTCGACATTGGATTCTCATACAAACACTGTAATTTCTCACGCGTTTGCCTACTCGTCAAGATGGCGTCGAAAACCGTGACAAGGTCTATTCAATGATCATGAGACATCTTATTTCCACTCAGTTTATAAAGGTTGTACAATGTAATTATATTAAAAGCAATAAATTTCCTTTAAATTAGTTGGACATGCCTTGTTGGCGATTAATGGCGAGACCGTCACAGGAAGGCGTCTGTCTGATGGGAGAGAAGCTATGGAAGTTATCAGAGATCCGGCAAACTACCCGCTTAACTTGAAGTTCGGTCGGCCAAAGCTCACAACTAACGAGCGCATTATGTTAGCAAGCATGTTTCATCCGTAAGTCAATCATGCTTAATACTAAATTTAATGTTATGGTGCACCGACAAAGAAATAACACAACACACATGGCTTTAAAGATGATGTGAACTGTGGAAATACAAATTTAAATGGAGATATGATCATTGCAGTGGTAATTGGAAATATGGGGAATTGCAAATTAACCTGAGAAGAATTTTGGGACTTCAGTGGGATTTAAACCCATGGCCTCTGCGTTAGCGCTGCAGTGCTCTACCAGCTGAGCTATGAAGACCCATACATTGGGAGCAGGCCAATTTGTTGAGTTCATCTTAACCTGTGAGAGGAATGAAAAATTGAATGAAGATGAACTGAACTGCTTTGGTGGGAGAAATTGGGCAGGGAAAATGCCCGAATAGAACCCACCAACTGGATAACCCATCGGATGAGGGGTTTTGGCACATGGCTCCTAGGGGGTGCCTCAGGCCTATACTTAAAGGCGAGCACGATTCACACATCCATGTGGCTGGAATTACTTGTATGTCCTTGGTCAAGTAAACCAAGTCCAGCAGTATTCCCATCTCTCCCCACCCCCCGACAGGGCTTTAGCACAAGTCTGAAGGGGTCCTGCAGACAGCGATTCCCCACCCAACCCCCCCAAAAAAGCCAAGTAGAACAAGAAGTTCCTTGTGCTAAGGCCAGTCCCAAAAGACCCTCTCTCGAGTTAGACGCAAAGGGGGGGGGGGGGTTGCTTACTCCAGGTGGCTTGTTTTTGGTAAGATCATTGGTAAGTGACCTAGAGGTAACCCCTGCTGACCCTTTTGGGGAATGAAATAGAGTAAGGGATTGGTGGGGAAAGGGGGAGCCAGGTAGGGAGTAGCTTCTGCATTAAAGCAAACTAACTGGGTGCATTTTATGTGAGTTATGCCCTGATTAAGCCTTTCATAATCTTACCACTATAATATATAACTTGATTTGTTTGCAGGCTGTATGCAATCTCTGCTAAACTGTCTCCAGAACAAAGATCTTCTGGAATTGAAGTATTAGAAGCAGATTCCTTTAAACTTCATTGCTACCAAACACATACTGGTAGGTTCTAAAAAGATTTGATGATGTTCGTGTATAGTTTGTGAACGGATCAAGAAGATATCTCGGTCAGATAAAATAAGGGAAAGGTCAATATAAATAGCTAATGGCCAAAATTCCTCTCTGTCATTTCCTGACAAAAAGAACTTATATACCATACTACTAAGAATGTAATTAAAGAGTATCAGTCGTTATTATTTTAAAATCATGAGTGTATGCAAGAAAACTTAGGAATTTTTATGAAGAAGTTATTCAGAAGCCTGATAGATTTGTTACTGTTAAATTTTATTATAACATAGCGCGCGTGCTTGCCCTATATAAGTCCTATTGAGCCGCTATGAACAAAATCTTTATTTACGCACGCTCAATCTTTATTTACGTTCCAGCTCATGTACGAGTTAAATAAAATGCCCTCTGATGTAAACAGTTCATCTTCTTGGTGGAATTTTTAATATAGGAATAAATCCCATATCAGCCATATCTGCAAAGGAGTTCAAATTTACTCTCTTTGTGCTTCTTGAATTTCAACAGGATTGAAGTTCATTGTGCTAACAGACCCAAAACAACTTGGAATGGATATATTCTTAAAAAAGATTTATGAGCTTTATTCAGATTTTGCTCTGAAGAATCCATTTTACTCACTGGACATGCCCATAAGGTAACAACAAAACAGCAATTACCAAATAGTACATATTTAACAAGGAATTGTTTGAGCTTAGATGAGGAGTAAGTATCAGATAGAATTATGTTGCCTTAAAACCGAGTTAGTGATGTCAGAATACTACTTACATATAACTATTATAAACCAAGAGTACATTTAACCCTTTAAGCCCTAAAAGTGATCAGCATGAAATTTATCCTTGTAATATCAATGCTTTGTAAAACAGAGTGGTCATGAGAATTATGAACATGATCACACAAGATGAATTTGGTTGATATTTTATCAACTTCTCCCCACTACTTCTGTAGGAAATGAAAAGGGGCAAGAAAAAAGATATCAATTTTTGATCTTAGGGTTTAAAGGGCAAATGTCAATGTATTGAACATTGTTATTTATTGAGGACACTGCTTGTACATCTCCTAATAAAGATATTTGTTTACATGGTCATCCAAGCCATGTGAAGGTCAAGCCATTTGCAGGGCAAATGGATGGACCTTGATTTATAAAAAGGGTCTATGCTAAATAGCAAAGTAATAATTTATTGTTTTAAGCTTGAAAACAGATGCTTAACTTGTATTTTTGGTTTGCAACCATGTGACAAGGTGGCCATGTTGGTAGACAGAGCAATACAAATTTTTGTTTGCAGAATTTGTATCAAAAAGGGGTTTAATTCCCAGCGGAGGGAAACACTATTGTTCTTGTCAATTGACATGGCCGCTGTGACGTCAACAGTGAACCAGCAATAGTTCTGATTTAACTAGGCTTCTCTCTCTTTAGGTGTGAACTGTTTGACACAAACTTACAGAGAGCGCTGGATCAGGCTGAGAGGTCAAGCAATCCCTCTTTAGCTTAAACAAGGCAGCTACATCATGTGTGGAGGAACATGAACATGAAACCCTAAGAAATAATAATAAAAGTGACAATGATAATAGCAAAGGTCACAATGAAGAAAAAGTTTTTGTCAATCAATTCAAGATTTAATATGGAGTTTGGTTTAACAAGCAGAGACACACTGCATAGAAAAGATACCACATACAAGTAATAATGCAGGTTTTGGTTGAAGATCAGTCACATTTTTAGCATGCTTCCCAACAAAAGATGCAAGAAGGCGGTATTGTTAAGCTATGTAAATACAAAAGAAGAAAAGTTTACCTTACAACTATGTATTGTTATCAAAAGTATCCAATCTTAAAATTGATCTTTTTCGCCTACTCAATGATGGTTTGCTTAGCCAGAACAAAAAAAGGTATCTGAATTTTCTTGTAGAGTTTTTTGACAATTAAGAATTTTAATATTATTTTATGTACATTCGTTTAGATAGAAAAGCAAAGTGGTAATAAGGGTCAAATTCTTTTGTATGCATGTAATAATAATTAGGAAATATTGATGTATACGTAAAAGAACACTTCATGTACATAATAACTTTAAGAAAGTCACATTACAACTGAGGAAAATTGTTGAACATCTTTGTGGATTGTTCATCAGAAAAACACTTTTCATTTTACTGTGACCAATGATTTAAGTGTAAGGTACTAAGCAGTATGCCAGTTATTGTGCTTGAAACTTGTTTAATTTTTACTTTGGTGTCAGTGGGCAAAATCCTAAAATGAAACAAATCAAAAAAAGCTTCTAAGCTGTATGCCATAGAAATACTGTTGCCGGTGACACAGAGGGAAATAAACTTCTGGTTAAGTCTGTCTGCAAAACATCACTGAAATCTGTGTACAAGGAGTTGAGTGTGTGCCATGATTGACCAGGTAAAAAGCCATTGTCATTTTGCCAATCAGGTTGCAGGGAACTTCAAAACACATTTTTGTAATTTGCTGAGCCATTGAAAGCCCAGAAGAAGGATACTGGCACTTCTTCACAGGCATAACGAACAAGGGTTGTATTACCTCCATGACACATTAAAATCCTGAAGTCTTATCCCAAACTGGAAACTTCTGAATAATGATTTTTCGTGGTGCTGACTGTGCTGTTTTTCTATATGTAGTTTAAGAATTTCTAAAATGGTCAATTTTGTTCCTTAGTAGTCTCAGGGGCAGCCTTAGAAGCAGTGTTCACCAGGGTGGGCTTCTTTAAGTTTAACAGTTGAACAGGAACATTAAGGGGGTTTAAAGAGAACAACTGGGATTTGGGACGGCCAGAACTACTGCCTGCATCAGAATTGCCTTGTCCAGTGGTTCCTGCAGCTGTTGCCATGATTTCTTTGGACTTATTAACTACAAATTGAACTTGACTGCTTATATCATGACCTGCAAGCCGTCTTTCTAGGTCATTTAATAAATCCAGAATGACTGATGCATCTGAAGCAAGAAATAAGAGAAAACAGATGAGGATTATGTAAAAAAAAATGCTCTTTATTTGAGTGTGAAAGTATTTAGCACAAAGTTACTAGTTGGGGACACTGTTTTTACATCTCCAACTGGAGATGGGAATGGGACCACCATTTTACCTGGTCATCTGAGCCACCCAAAGGTCCAACCTCTTGCAGTGCGGAGGGAGTCCCTTCATTTCTCAATTATGTTAAGACCTTGAGTATTGGTCTGGCCCCGGGAATCAAACCTGCAACCTTCTACTCTGCAGTCTAGCACTCTACCAACTGAGCTAACACTGTCACAGTAAATTCATAACACTTAATTATAGATTATGGTAAAGACATAAATTATGATATCAGACACAAGGAGTGTTACCCATCCAGGCAACTACACTAGGCCCATAGGTAGGATTTTAGTTAGGCAGGTACTTAGGAGCCTTAAAAGTACAAACTATTCAGAGGGGGTGGGGGGTGGGCTCCAGGAATATCTCAAGTTGCACATGGCATTAAGCTAAGGTGGCCATATTGGTGTAGCAAATCAATGAAATGGGGGTCAATTTGGTCTACTAAAAAAGTCATACGGTTTGGGTCTTATTTCTCATGTAAAAACTTCTTTTTGTTCCAAGAAATTTGCATGACAGTTTACTATATGTGTGAAAATGATCTATAGTCCACTGTCAGATAAAAGATATCACTGGTAAAACATGGAACTCTTAGAGCACCTTTCAAAGACTTTGGCTGTGAACCTTGGGCTTACACTACTGAGGAAGTTAATAGATTGCAATCTTTAGGAAAGTAAAACATTGCTACCACTTGATCTTGGCCAGGTAGAGAATAGCTAAGTACGTGACGAGTTCGGAACCAACAGGGGGACCACAGAAGGAGGAAAAAGGGGAAAAAAAAAAGAAAAAGGGGGAAGCGATGAATGTGCACCTGTTGCATCCCTCTCCCTACAAGCTGGCAAACACTGAGAGACATTAAGTTATTATAATGCATGATACCACTTACCAAGTGGGGTAAGGTCAGGTGGTGGCTGTTCTCTCATGACTCTACTAAGCAGTGTGTATATCTGACTGTAGTCCGGTGCTGGGTTGCCTGTTGATCAACCACTTGATTATTTGAGTAAAGAAGTGGTCATTACTTAAAGTGTGAAGATATTTTTTATCAGCAATGGTGATGTTGTCAACCACCGCGGTACACATTGTACTTCTCAGTAAATCAACACTATCGCATGACGAAGGCCTGCAGTATGCGGCTGAAACACCGCGATCAATATCTAATTAAGTCTTGTTTTGGTCCAAAAGTCACTGCTCATTATACACACAGGAAAGCTGATTTCAATTATTTAATACCGGCAGCAACAACTCAACTTACATATTTGATTTTCAAAATAATCAATTCACTAAGGAGTATGCTTGACCTGGCTTGACTGTATTATTATTATAATATTATAATCACTGGTACATCTGACATCAAAACTAAGAAATATTTATATAATTTGGTTTTCTTACCAGGTTCTGATTGAACTGGTTCCATGGCAGCAATTGTCATAATCTATACAGTGAGCAGGAAGTAGTAACAATTTTTAACAAAGCCTGCAAACAGTACAATTCACTTCCTCCCCACTGAGCATTTTCACAAATACACCTCAGCTCAAGTTGGTGTGACTACGTGTGCAGGGGCACAATATTCATTTATGGGTTATTAATTGGCGTCAACAACATTTATGAAAGAGTTTCTGGGGATAATTTTTGGGGCCTATTTTACTGATAAGGGTTGAAAATACAGCAACATGGGCTGGTATAGGTAAACAAGGGTTTCAGGATTCCAGTGGCACCCAGTAACCCTAAAATTCATGATTTAAGTACCCCATGGGGAAGTAGCAAGCATTCCTGAGAAGATAACATTCAGAAAGAGTAGGCCAGCAGGAGACTTGCCATCTATATTGATTGTGAAAGATGTGATAATCAGCATGTTGCAAGCATGGAAATAAATTGCTTTTTGGTTTAATAACACTCACAGCATCTGTGTCCAAAAATTAAGCTCGATCCAGACAGATAGATTTTAATAAGACTTCTTAAAAAAGGTCCAATAGACCTTTGTCAAGGGGTGGCCATTTTGTCTCAAGAGGTTTAAAAAGCTTTGTTTATGCACGGCTAGCCTCAAAGAGAGAACTATAGGCTAGCCGTGCATGAACAAAGCACTTTTAATCTCCTGAGACAAAATGGCTGCCGAGTGACAAAGGTCTATGTCGCCATAACATCTGCCATTGGTGAGAACTAGATGAAAGGGAATCAAAAGTAAAATTGTGTTGTCCATTATAAACAAGATAAAGATTACTTGAAGATAGACCACAGGCCACCCAGTCTTTCAAAGCTGAAACATTCCTGTTTGAAGTGTGTTGTTAGAGGAATGACCGGTTTGGGTAACTTTGAAAATCCCTTCCAAATTTAATTAAGTTTCAATGTGTTTATTCTACTATGGGAAGACAAAAGTCCTTGTGTTAATTCCAAAAGCATGTTCCTGGGATATTTTTAAAATCATTTTTATTTTGCTTTGTTTCAGTTTTGAACTGAAAGTAATGTTACTGGAATAATAAAATTGCTGAATAAATAAAATGCTATGAACTTACAACATTCAAGTAAATCTAAATTAATAATTACTTTAAAGGGGAACAATATTCTACACACAAACCACTGAGAAGACAGCTGNTATGTCGCCATAACATCTGCCATTGGTGAGAACTAGATGAAAGGGAATCAAAAGTAAAATTGTGTTGTCCATTATAAACAAGATAAAGATTACTTGAAGATAGACCACAGGCCACCCAGTCTTTCAAAGCTGAAACATTCCTGTTTGAAGTGTGTTGTTAGAGGAATGACCGGTTTGGGTAACTTTGAAAATCCCTTCCAAATTTAATTAAGTTTCAATGTGTTTATTCTACTATGGGAAGACAAAAGTCCTTGTGTTAATTCCAAAAGCATGTTCCTGGGATATTTTTAAAATCATTTTTATTTTGCTTTGTTTCAGTTTTGAACTGAAAGTAATGTTACTGGAATAATAAAATTGCTGAATAAATAAAATGCTATGAACTTACAACATTCAAGTAAATCTAAATTAATAATTACTTTAAAGGGGAACAATATTCTACACACAAACCACTGAGAAGACAGCTGCTAGGGAGCAAACAAAACCACAACATCAGCAACAGTGACAACATTGCTTAATAATATAAAGTGAATTGATAGGAAGGCAAAAATAATAAGTTTTGAAGAGTGTAATGCATATTGGTCATTAAACTTACAGTTCTTTTCCAATGTTGTCATTACCCTTATTGTTCTGTGAGCTCCCTAACAAATGCAACAGGTGGCCTTTTCAAGGTCCCGTGTACACATACCCATAGGCAGAAACAGTGTTTAACACATATCTGCCTCCATGAGCGGGCAGGACCAAGCACATCCTTTTTCTGATTATTGGATTCTTCATATTGTTCCCCCATAAAGTTATTTTGTCATAATTTATAATAAATCCTTTATTGGCCAAGCATGTTCAGCCAAGATGCCTGGATATTAGCCTAGTTTTTGTTGTTGTTTTGTTTTTTCGTGTTTGTATAGACCTCAACAGGAATCAAATAAACGCGACAAAAAAGAACTCAGCTTATATCATCCCACCTTGGCCTCATCACATGCTTGGTCAGTCACACATATATCTTAAGCCCGTCTTTGATAAACTGCAGATTCCAAGCTGTACTCTCTTCTCAAAACGTTTCTAGCGTGAAGTATAATCAAATACTAGGGCTATAATAATTTTAAAATTCTTTTTTTCAAATGAGTAGTTATATTTACTAAGCTTAGTATGACTCTAGTACATCACAGTCAGGTGACTGCTACAGATGTACACACAACACATTCAAACAATTTTCTTTCCAAAATAAATTCTATCCCTCCAGGTCATACAGGACTTAGTTGAGCATTTCTGTATCAATAATATATTATAAAAGTATAAGAAGAAGATTGACCTTTAGGTCATCCTTTTACATTACATACACTACCACTGACAAATCTCTGTATTGATATCCCTTCTTACAAGTACAAAGGTTGGGTCACCACTACTGGAAATGAATCTGGATAAATTGAGGTTTCCGAGAAACTTCCCACCTACCCCTCCCCTTAGCCAACATTTTGCCCTGAGTAAGAAGTAAGTGTTAATGTTAGCTTAGGGGAGGGGTAGGTGGGCAGTTTCCCAGAAACTAGAATTGATCCATGAGTCCTTTGCTAGCTACAATGGGCAACAGAATATTATTGTTGAGACACCTCAACACCTCCCACCCATAGTTGGAGAGTTTGTTTTTTTTTTCACAGGTAGCTTGAACAGCAGCACAACGTCCATGGAGAGGGTGGGGCAGGAAAGCTTCATTTTACCCCTTCTGAAATTGGCAAATTGTCAGAAAGGCCCTTTGGGGCAAAGCATCTCAGCTAATTTTGTTGCTGATTGTAGCTTGTATTTAAATTCAGAATATGTTTGCTCTCCTGAAAGATTTTCCACGAAATGTTCTACAGAAATCACATTTTCTGCCGAAAGAAGGATGTTCATAGGAAATATTATTTGCCTTGGGCATAACTAAAACCTCTTCTACATTACCACATAAAACCAAACAAAAATTATTAAATACGAAAGATAAATCAAATTGCCAAAAACTAAAAACAGAAATGAAGCTATCTAGTGCCAGATTTATGTCACAATAAAACAAAATTTCTGAGAAACCTGTTACCTGTTACACTTTGTACAACATTGTGTTGGAAGAGCATGTGTTACTGTTTAGCTGCCTCTCTCAACATTACATTTAAATGCCCACATAAAACCAAACAAAAATTATTAAATAAGAAAGATAAATCAAATTGCCATAAACTAAAAACAGAAATGAAGCTATCTAGTGCCAGATTTATGTCACAATAAAACAAAATTTCTGAGAAACCTGTTACCTGTTACACTCTGTACAACATTGTGTTGGAAGAGCATGTGTTACTGTTTAGCTGCCTCTCTCAACATTACATTTGAATATCTTTCAAACATTTTCTTCTAAATCTTTTGCATCAAAAACCAATGTTTAAATGTTTAGCAACCCCATATTGTGCGTGACAAATACGATGTTGGATCAAAATGTTTGATTGTTTAGCTGGAGCCAAAACTACTCCCTCTAACCTTTCAAGATTTCCTAGGCCAAGTTAAAGCGAGATTGTTTGCCAATGACTGCAAAATCTGTGGATGAAATACTGTGGTGTTACCATACAAATGAAACCTCTTTGCCAGTACTTTCACATGGTACTATTTATTTAGTATGTAGTTCTAACGTTTGAGTCTGTGTATGAAATCCTATGGTGTTACCATTCAAATGAAACCTCTTCTCAGGACTTTCACATGGTGCTATTTATTTCGTAGGATTTTACAAAAAATGAATTTTTTTGCAAACTTTTTACTTTGACCACCATAAGGAGTGAACGGTTTAAGGAGGCCCTGTAAAGGTTAATTCCAACATACAATATAGGCTTGAAACATTGACAATGATACAAAGATAGACTAAAACTGCGACAGTAGTGAAGACAAGCACATACAGTCAAATACTTAAGTAAAATTAACAACAGGGGCATGGATTATTCCTCCTTAGTAAGTGAAAGCTGTGGTTTTCAATAACACACCAACTCTGAAGTTCAAAAGCCAACTAACGCTTGTGTTCCTTGCTGCCATCAATCATCTTAGTGGAACTCCCAGAAAACAGAAGTCAACTTCAATGGGTTGCAAAGATCATGGTTTTTGAAATGTGATTGTTGGATTTCAGTCCATTTTGTGTTTTCTCGATCTGCTTTATAGTTCATTGCTTGTGACTGTACATGTAATTATTATGATTGACGGCAGAGGAAAATGCAAATATTGTGAAGCTGGCGTTTAAACTTCAGACTTCCTGTACTATTGAAAAGCACAGTAAAGAGAGTTGACCATACATAGCATTAGTTTGTTGAAAAACCCAGGTCACTCTGGAGAAACTTGGCTGGGATGGACTAGCGTCCACTGGTTTTCAGCAGTCTTTGCTCTGTTATATCGCAGAGTTTTACACCTGGTAGCAATACTTGTGACACATTTACGCCACACAACATTTTGTTGTTCTGGATCAAGGGTCTTTAAAAATCTTTCTGNTATTATGATTGACGGCAGAGGAAAATGCAAATATTGTGAAGCTGGCGTTTAAACTTCAGACTTCCTGTACTATTGAAAAGCACAGTAAAGAGAGTTGACCATACATAGCATTAGTTTGTTGAAAAACCCAGGTCACTCTGGAGAAACTTGGCTGGGATGGACTAGCGTCCACTGGTTTTCAGCAGTCTTTGCTCTGTTATATCGCAGAGTTTTACACCTGGTAGCAATACTTGTGACACATTTACGCCACACAACATTTTGTTGTTCTGGATCAAGGGTCTTTAAAAATCTTTCTGTGACCTCCACTGTGGAATTGAAAAATTAAAAAATATATTACAGCAATAAGCCACAAGCCTCAAGTAAAGGAGCTGGGGTTGGAGTTGAGGGTGTTTGTCTTTAAAAGAGGAGCTTCCAAGAGAAAACTAACAATACCTGTAGCCATCATTTTTGTTGAAACACTACACACTACACAATGTACTTGTCTTGGTACATGTATGCCCTCCTCAAAGTCTGATAGCTGGCCAGGGCTAGTGCCTAAACGGCAAGTTAATTTTGGGGGAAGCAAAATTCAAAATTGCTGAAGAACTGTAATCAATCCTACTCTTCCGATGAAATTTGACAACCACTGAGGGATCATTGACAATAGACAGTTTACAAATTATTTGACCAAAATAAACAAACTAACAGATTGTCAAACAGTTCTTTCTATTTAATCGCTGTAATCTGAACTTTTTTTCCAGTGATAGAAATCATAATAGGGACCTTAAGATCAGATGACGGTGACGGCAACAAGAACGTCATAAAAACAATAGCTTTAACTAGCAAAACAACAACTTTGCACGTGCATCACACTTTTTTGTCCATTTATTTGCCAATTTTGCATGACTACGACATGAAAAAACCCAATTCCACATTTATAGAGGACGTAAACAGGCAACAACAAAATTTTCTTTCTCTTTTTTAACTTGGATAAGGTTCTTAGGAATTCAACTCCAGGAGAGTTTGCGTACATTCAACAAAGTAAGAGAGATGGAATAATCGCGATGAAGATTGAAAATGCAAAACTGCGATTTCACTTTTTAAGTGACGTTTTACCTGCTGTCATCATCCTTGCATCTTATTAAGGTCCCTTATCTGACAGAAACCAGGCTGAACCCTCTAAAACGCGTATATACTCTTTCTCAGAAAACAACTATATATGAAATCAAGGGAGTCTGCCTCAATACTATTTTAGTATTCTCTTTTAACATACTTTGTATTGCTTTGATTATTATTGGATCCAGCTGCATTGTGCCACGTTTTCCTCCAGTCACTGTTGATGCCTCCAGCACATCATCTCCAAAAACCAACTCCGCCAAACGCACAGCAAAGTGTGTTGGTTGGCTTGATTTAGTGACAGCATCTAAATATTTCTGACGGGGTATGACTACATTTGGGTTTCCTCCAACTAATACGTGAAAGTCTGTAAGACAAGGATTTCAGATACTGTTAATACAATAAGAGTAAACTTGTTATTAATAACGTCAACCCTATGTTTAAATGTCAATAAACAACATCCAATAAACATTCTGCAGCACCAAAAAATACCAATGAATAATCTAAAATTACTCAATAACAAAGGAGTGTCTAGAATAAGTGTCAAGTGATTTCTGATAAACTGCTTGATTGTGCTGTTAGTGTATCTCCAATTTGCCTTGTCCATGCTTGTGAAACAAATATAGACTTTGGTATTACATCACACATCATCCATGCAACACTTTAAGGTGGCTGAGCGCAGTTTTGCAGGCGGTTATTGTAATGACAAACTGTCACCATAGCAAAGTCCTTCTGGACTCTTGTTTCTTTTTAGCTCCTGTGTTGAGCCTGGAGATAACAATGAGAACTTGCTCACTGGCTACCCTTCCTGTTTGCCCTGCTTTATCCTCCATGGTCCCAATATTTATCACTGTAACTAATGCTACTAGAAAACTGATTAACTGACCACCAAGGCATTGCTCATGCAGCATGCAAAGAAAGTAATGTCTGGTAGCCCAGGGCTAGTGGATTTTTCTATTGGGCTGGTGCATTCTGTGGATAACTCGCCCGACAGGCAAGTGAAGTTTTTAGGGAAAATCAAATTACAGAACTGTAATCAATTCTGCTGGTCAGCAATTATTCTTTGGAGGCTAGATGAAATGACACTTGGGCTAGTACATGCTAGCTAAAACTTGCCCGAATGGCAAGCTGTAAAACTGACTTTCTTTGTACCCTTTGATGATCAAAAGTTTAAATAATCTGCATTAGAGTTTGAGAGCATCAAAGCTCGAAAGCTGGGGCACAATCAAAAAGAAGTAAGTGAAGGAAAGGAAAAGGAATGGAGTACTAGCCACTAAATCGTCCCCTACCCCTCTCAACTTTGTTGGCTCTTGCTCTAACTTCCATACTAAGCTCTCAAGGGACCCTTGCTATAATAGTAAGCATTTGAGCTAAACAATATGACACATGTACTTACAATCAGCAGTCATTCTTATGCCAGACACCGTGACGCTTTCTTTTGAGGCATTAGGACTACTGGGAAAACTTTGCACCATGTAATTTCCAGAAGAATTGCCAGCCAGAGGTGAACCTTTTTCTTTGGATTCATCATTATTTTCTCCCTCCCGACCACTGACACTCTGCTGTTTGTCTATCCTTGTACTTTCTTCTCCTGAGACACTCACACTGTTCCCGCTACCTGCTGTCGCATGCCTTGTCGGCACAACAACTGAACTCTGCCTCTGAGCTGTTGATTTGACTTGCGGCTCAACCGAAGTTTGTAAGTTAGAAGGCAAGTGTACAACTGTGATATCTGGGTCAATACCAGGTGGTATAGACCGTTCACCCTCAGTTCCATCATTTTTCTCCATAGAGGAATCAGCAACAGATTCAGGTCTCGCAGAGGAGTCTTTCGTCGGTGTTATGCAGCCAGCATCATTGTAATCACCTTCCTCAGCGACATTCTTTGTGGGCGATTTTTCGTCATCTGAGGGTATTCTGATTAGAGGCGGTGTATGCCTTGCTGCTGACTGATCCAAACTACCCATGTCACAGTCCTCATCCTCCTCGTCTAACTCTCCTTGGGAGTCATCATTCTCATCATGTTCACTAAGCTGTATGCCTCCACCAACTGCCATGGATGGTAGGCTTACGTCAACATTATTTGCTGATGCTCTCGTTTGTGACCTGTCTTTACGTGGATTGCGTGCTCTCTTGCAACGCTGAGCTATACTGGTCACACAACTTTTCCATAAAGCTATCTGCCCTTCATTTGACATGTCTGATGCAAACTGCCGCAAGACTTCCACTGCAGGAGAATTCAGAGAACAGTATTTCAAAAGGTACTATATTACAGTAATACAAACTACCAATCACAGAGCTGTGCTTTCAGATTTTCTAGAAATCTCATGAATTAGCTAGATACTCATCACTACAGAGCATCCATCACTTACTACACATGTTAGACTCAGCCTGTTTTAAGCTTTTTCTAGAGCAAAATTTGTGTTGTTAAAAAATATTCGCACAATCAAATAAGGCAATTCAACTTCTAACTAAAAACCTTTAAGCATCTGCTGTCATTATGGCAAAACAATTTTATCCACTTTGTACAAAAAGTTTCAATAACAAAAATCTGAGAAGTATTCATCCGACAGACAAGTAAAAAAAAAAGAAAAACAGTTTTCATTTCTCCATCAAATGAAGAAAAAAGGATTTTAAAATCACTGAGCATTACTCACAGTCATCATCATCAACATCATCATCATTATTATTATTATTAATGGTAAATCCAACACACAAAGAAACACCTTTTTTGGTGCATTGCCTTACTTATCTTGCCCACTACACATAATAAATTAAAAATTAACATACCTTTGATTGCATCCAATATGACTGGATGTAGGGCTGCTTTGCCTCCAATTCCATAAGGTGTGGATTTGATCAAGACGTCAATGCCGAAGAGCTTCTCTGCAAGGCGCAGAGCAAAGTATTTTGGGCGTCCTTTGGACTTATCCAGCATGTCTTCCAGGTCATATTGGGTGAGTACCACATAGGGATTGTAACCAATTGACACTAAAAGAAATACAGGACTTTGTTAGTCTCTTCACAAACACTGTGCAGTCAAATCACTCCAAACAGACATCGCTCTAATTAAGTGTCTGTAATGTCTGTGTTGGTTTTGGTATCTCATTGAAATTAGGTCTTTGGCAGAATTTTTGCATAGTACTACAATGGAACCCTCGACTGGTAACTCAAACTCAGATAACACAAATTCCCTGCTTACTTGATTTAAATTGCATTTCCCTGAACAAAATTTACCCTGATGACTTGAATTCTGGTACTTGCAACTCACCATGATGCTACCGCATCAAGTAATCTTAAGAGTCATAATGGCTTAACAGAATAAGAATGCTACATTTTCTGATGAGATAAATTCAATTTGCACTGTACTATATACTGAGGTGCTGATTGATTATTAACCCTTTATGCCCCAATAGTGTCCAAAATCAATTTTCTCCTCATAGATTGTCAAGAGCAAAGTCTACGAGAATTGACAAAATGATCTTAAATAGAAAAATCATTGATCTTTTATCAAATTCTCTCAACTAATTCTTTAATGAAATGTATGGAGATCAGTTTGGAGAATTTGTAAGTGGATATCAGGACTTAAAGGGTTAACATGGCAAATCCATATTCAATTGGCCACAGTAACTTTTTCCTTTCAAGTTAATGGGTTTGAATGTATTTATTTCTTGGGACTTTATAAAAGAGAAATTTCAATCATTTCTTTCGTCACCTTTTAGGAATGAAAATCTCGACTATGCAATGGATAAACAAACTTTTTTCCCCTACCAAGTTGTAAAGAGTCCCCTTTAGAAGGATCAAGGTTCTTGTGGTAATCTGTGACTATCGCAGAAAGGCAAGACTGCCACTGATCTTGATGCTCGGAGTTAGGATGATCTGTGATGTAGTTACTGATCAACATGGCTACAATGATAAAAAAACAGCTTAAAATACACATGTAACGAATAACAAATGAATATAATATTGTTTCTCAATCCTACCACTGCAGGATTAGCTCAGTCGTTAGAGCAATTGACTGCAGAGCGGGAGGTCACAGGTTCGATACCGGGGGCAGGACCAATAATCATGGCCATCAAAAAACTAAGAAATAAAGACACTGCCTTCACCCTGCAAATAATGGCTCGACCTTCACATGGCTCAAATGACCACGTAAAATGGCGGTCCCGTCTCCAGTAGGAGACATAAAAATGGTTTCGCCAATTAGTACTTTCATGCTAAATACATTGGCACAGTTTAAATAAAGTGCTTTTATTAAATAATAATAATAAGTTTTCATTTCTTGTTCTGTGGTTCACCAACAATTTTTGGTCTGTAACTTAATGTATAAAGCAAATTTTAAACAGAATTAACCTTTAAAGGACTGTAAACTGTAAATGACACATCCTTGTTTTTCCCATAAAAATAATATTATATTTTTTTGTGGCCAAAAATTCTCACTTTGGCCAGAAAAAGCAACAAAAAATTCCTTCTGTAATATTAAGAATGGACTTCAAACTTAACAGAGATGTATTTTTTATAACACCTAAATGTACTAACAATAACAGCCTGTAACTCTAGACTGTACGCTGTCATTAAATTCACCTGCGTTCAATAACTCTTTTGGTGAGGCTGCATCCATTCTTTGTTTATCACAGGCTTCAATGGCTGGAAAAACAAAAATATTGGTTACCTACCAGAACTTGCTTCCACAAGAGTGCTCTCATCTACAATAATATTATTAATTTACAATTCAACACCAGACATGCAATCTTGCTGTTCCTGTTCTCAACTTATGTATTTGGGCAGGGACAGCAAAGAAATTTACAAAAAAGCTTGATGCACAGACAGGGTTGTTGTTTTTACAAAACCTAATACATTTAAATACAATTTACCCAGCAACTTGAAATCTTAATGACAGGACAGAGTCTTGTAACAAAGAGAAGTGATACAGGAAACCCATGGACCAGGACAGCCTTACATGTATAAAACACCAACAGCAGAGATTAAGATGTGCATGTCCTTTATAAAGGCATGTTTGTGATATACAACCCCCACCCCTTCCCTCCTAGACCAAAACAGAATGATTTGTCACTCTAAACAAATTAAAAAATATGTTTCTGAATTGTTTAAAAATGCAGTCACCATCAGATCAAGAAGAATGATAAAACATTTTAATCAAAATGACTGATGTCATCCAACTTGCAATTAGAATCGTAATCAGAAACCTACATGTAGTCTTACAACTACAGTGATTTTGTTACAAATAATAGTTATGGTGAGTCCTGGGACTCATCTTGTGAAAAATAATGACTCCCAGTGCAGAGCCAACGAGTTCCAGTCCTAAATTGATCATGCTTGGGCCTTTAAGTAACCAGACAGTTAATCTGGAGACAGTCTCCAAAAGTCTTTATTACAGTTTACTGAAATTAAAATATAGTCATTCTATTTAAAGAGCAAAAGAGACTGAAATACATATGCATTATTAAACAATAGCCAAAATAACACTCACAGAAATCACAAAAACAGGATATTCAGACTATGAAAACATCTTCGGATTTATCAATCAATCTTTGCATTCTATGGGACGCATACCATGAACAACTTTGGGGATTTTTATGCATCAAGGATGCAGGATGCAGAGGTAACAAAATCACTGAACTAAGGCCAAAAAATAATGAATCAATATGTACTTACTTGCCCTTCTTATAACTGACTCTGCGGCAGACAATGCATCAAGATCTTTTGCTTTCCCACTTGGATTCCTTAAAGTTGTTTCACCAGTTTGTGCATGGGGCAGCGATAGTGGTATACCATACGCCTTGCTGGTAGATGGCTTTACATTTGTGGTATGCGAAAGAGTGATATATCCAGGCGGAGTGCTTGTTTGAGCTGATGTGGGTGTTATACTCTGTACTGGCTGCCTTGGCAAATGCCTGGTTTGTGAACTCGGTAGTGAGATGACAGGGATGGAGATGTTAGGTGCAGGGGAAACATGTTGGGTTAAATGGCTTGAGACCACCTGTGAATTGTTTCCAGGGACGAACCTTGCCGCAGGACTTCTCACAACTGTGCTCAAAACTGGTGAGGCTGACAAAGTGTTATGAAGGTCAATGTATGACGGGGGCAATGATGACACAGTGGTTTGGACTGAAGCGAAAGTATCTCTACTACGTGTCACATATGTCCGTTGCGGTGCTGTAACATTCAATTGCTCGGACATTGGACCTCTTTGCTGTGATGAAGCCATTGAAACCACTGTAGTTTGATCTGAATTAGCAATGGCAGTTACAGCAATGCTAGGAGAAAGATTAATGACTGATGCAACAGAACTGGTTCTATTTGACAATGAATGACATTCTACGACCACTGGTAGACAAGGTTCTTGTCTTAAAGACTTTTCTTCACACCTTTCAGGCAGACGTTCTTTCGGAGGAATGGTGGTGGTCACTTTGGTTGGAGACTCAGAGGGAACATTTATTGACGATCCACAGTTAATTGTAGACACTGACGAATCAGCTGTTACGGGTGCACTAGCTGAACACAAAGTGATTTCAGGCAAGGATGTGCTGCTTTGTATTTCTTGTGATTGAGGCAAAGAATCTTTGTGACCGTCTATAACTGAATTTACAGTACATGACTCACTGCTGCTTTTCCTAGATGATATGCTCTGCGAAATAGTAGATGAAGTTTGAACTGAAGTCCTGCTTAAAGAAACTGTAGAAATTGTGTCATTCTTCTCATTAATTGTACTGCTCTCTTTATCAGAAACAGGCATTGAACTTTCTTGTCTTTTATCTTGTTTACCATCTCTACAAGAACTGCACGAACCCAGAACAGGCTGGTGTATAAGGTTTGCATGAGGAGTTGTTTGGATAATTACAGGTCCTCCACAACACCCATGGGGAGCATTATTACTAAGACTATCAAGTTTGCTGGTGATCTTTGTAAGCATATCCATAAGAGATGACTGAGTTGATGAACCATCAGATCGGAGATCCTCAAGCGTGGACTCCAAAACGGAAATTTTCTGCATCATTTCCTTCTGATTATTGAGCAGATCCTCCTGAGAAAACATAATAATGAAAACAAATAATCATGCTTCAAAAAAAGTTGCTAAGGTGCAATCTTAGGTAATTGAGTTAGGCTTGAGTCAACGAATGTAGTTGTTCTTGTTGGCAGCAAACGATGCAAGGGACAAGAGGACCTCTCGGCAACTCCCTTTTCCTGTATGTTTTGAACTGCTAATTGTGGGTGAACCTCATCCTTGAAGCTTGATTATCAGTGCTTTTCAGGGAAGAGAGCTGCAAAAAACTAGTCTACTCATCCTCTTCTCCCTCTTACCTTCCCATCGATCATTTCACTTGGTTGCAGGTTGGTGTAACTTTTACTGACTTAGCAGTGCAAAGGAGCCTTGGTAAGGCCATCTGTGTATGGAGGGGTGGGGTATGGAGGCCCTGCACATAGCTTGCTATAAGAACCTCCCAGCTAACATAATGGATTTTAAATGAAAACACCGTCCCCTCCCCCAATCAAACTTCAATTTTAACCACTTTGTCTAACTCCTGATAGTTCAACCAATCATTTCCTTTGCACCCTTCAGGTTAAAAAATTAGGATCCCACTATGTGACTATTTAACTTTGTTCCCTTACCATAAGAGAGTTAGTCCTTTGAAACTGTTCCTCTGTAACAATGTTTGGTGATAATGTATTTTTGTGATGATCAGAGTTGCTCGTGAGTTCAGGAACTTGCTGTTGTTCTTCCTCTTTCCTGTCACCATTACAGTGTAGTTCCTCATGTGTACTTGTAGGAGCATTTTCACTTCCAGAATCTAAGTCTTGGCATTCTTCTTCCCTTGAAGTTTGTGTCTGCTATGAGAGGCACGAGGGATGCCACTCCAGATTGAATATTACTTTGATTTCATAGTTCGTACAACTTTTGTTACAGAAAAATCAAGGAAAACCCGAGACCTTTGTTGATACAAAATTTTAATATTCAGGCTGTACATTTCACATGAAATTAGTGTAAAATTTTGATCATGAAGCATTTGTTGTTTAGCTCTGGCACTTCAAAACATTGTACGAACCATGTAATCACCAAGGTTTGACAAAGGGTTCAAACACTGTATGGTTATTCTTTATCAGTAAATTTTACACAACATTAAATTAATCTAAGTTAAGCTAAGTACCAGTTAAAACTATAGTCTGCACTTTGTCTGACATTTCAGTAATATACAGGGGCCATATTATATCAAGAATAACGGTCTAAAGTATACTATTTGTAATGAATCTGAATTAACCAGTTACATGAACCATAAATTTTAATGAGCAATGGTCATGATTGACATTAATTATACTTTACAATAATTATTAATTTAATAACATAATTATTAATCTTCCTGAACATGCTTTTGGAATTAAGAACAGCTAATTAATCCAGGACTGAAAATATCTGAATAAAGAGCATACATTTGCTAAGAATTACATGTACTAATAGTTGAGACAGTCACGCCCAGGGTGGGCCAAACTTTGACAACACTAGCCCTTTTGATGGCAGTCTTAGCAATGAGTACCCTACCAATTATGTCCAAATTTTATTTCCTTAAAAAATGGCTGGGGTGCATATTGAAAAATTCTGAAACGACCATAGAAATAACCAGAAACTCAATCTGGTAGAGACATTTACATTCACGCATAATATTCTAAAACAAGAACTAGCAAGAACAACTACACCATTAGTTCCCATTAGCACTGAGCTCAAGACAACTCTGGTGATGGTCATTTTAGATCTCCGCACCCCACAATTTTTATCCCCTAAAAAACACAATAAATATTTTCATAAGGGAGTCTAACAGATGGAAGTTAAAAATATAAATATTACATGTATATTTAATAAAAACAGAATAACACATCTCTGATTGGGGGGAGAAACAAAACACATTTTGGAAATCCACCTAGTTGATAGTTTTTCAAAACACAAAAATGGTGTTGTATAATTATTTATCGTAGTCTTACCTGTGGTATACACGTTCCATCTACATCATTATCCCCTCTTAATCTCTTCGTAGCATTTATCCACCCCTAAAGAACAAAGAGTCAGATAATTGGAGGATGTTACACAGTGGTAAAAAGATGTGACTTTTACTTTTTTCAGGACAAGAAAGAAAAGATTTCTATGAAAATAAGACCTCCATTTTATCGAATTGACTTGATGATGATGAAGACACAGAAACACACTCTAATTTTATCGATGTCATGTTTGCTTGTTTATCAACAACTAAACAGACAAGCACTACCAGTTATAAAATTATGTCTAAATACCTCTAAAGGTCCAGTATCTTTGGGTGCAATTGGCCTTTTGCTTGAAGCTAAAAAGAACAGATTGATTTTGATAAAAATATTGTCAAGTTTCAAAGAAAGTACTATCAAGTCCTGAAGCCTTCTGCCAATACTTTGGCTGTTGAACATACTTTTAGCAATGTTAAACTCTTTAAGGCAACAACTTTCTTATTGGGCACATACAAATGACAATTTTATCATTGGTGGTGATTGAATCATTGAATGTTAAATATTCGACTCTTCTGGCCAAAATTGTATAGTACGTAAACAACTAAAAAAAAATGGGCCAAAATTGACACATTTGTCATTCATCAAAGTCAATTGTATGAGCATTTTAACAATTGTTGCAAGTTACACAGCATGAAATCACTACAGTCAACTTCTGCTAACTCAAACCCTCACTAACTCGAACCTCGCACTAATTAACTCGAACCGAAATCGATTTCCTCTGAATTTCCTTTATACACTTACTATAATTTTACCCTCGGTAACTTAAACCTCCCACTAACTTGAAGTAATTTTTGTTTCACTTAGAACATTTCTATAAAAATTTATCCTCTATAACCCAAACCATGCTTTAGGTACCTGCAAGTTGAAAAAAGTGTGCAGCTGTCCGAATCAATGAAATTATTTTAACAACCATGAATCGGCATGTTACTTGCATTCATTCCCATCCCACTCCCTTCTTTCTCGTTATTTGTTTCGAATCCCCAATAAATCGAACTCCTGTTAACTCAAATTTTTTTTATTTCCCTAGAAGGTTTGAGTTATCAGGAGTTGACTGTATAAGAAACAAATGCCTATACTGATTGCATTGCACTGTCTGATTTTCAGCAACCTTAGAGTTCTAAGACTTTTCCTGAATTCAGATTTCGCTAAAAACTTAACATACATGATGTCCTTCTTGCAGTTGCTGTTTGCTTCTCTGCCTTAAGTTTTTCAGCAAACTCTTTCACCTGCAAAAAAAATTTACAACAACATTATTAATAATACATTAACAGTTTAGGTTTGTCAACAGCAAGAGATTCAATTTTTTTTTTTAATATAACGGCGCCACAAGTGAGTGAACTCTGATTGGCTACCTTAGTCAGCACGACAAGTCTGTCTTGCCCACTTGGAATTTCCAGCTTTGTTCTTTGTTTGTTTGATCCGATGACCAAACTTGTTCAGTCAAAATGGCTAAATACTGACCTCATTCCAAAAAACTGCAGCAAAAACCTTTCCCAGTATCCAATCAAACCGACTGAACAAGCCTCATCAATAACACTATGTCTTCAGTATAGATTGAAAGTACATGTAGTGCAGTGTTCGACATGTACAAGTGTTCAGTGGTCCCAAAGGTCAATTAATGTGATTATTTATGACGACAGTCTGCTGGGTGATCGGGGCAAGTCTTCCTTTCCAAGAATGCACATGGCCAATAGCTCTTATTCTCCTTGTAATAGCAGCATTTTAGCTGCCTTTTTCCCCTTTTCCTGTTTTGGATTTCTGTGTGGTGGGCGGCATTAAAGTGGGCAGACTAAGGGTTGCTAAGCATTGTACAGCAAACATGGCACAAACCTTGTAGCTGACAAAATTTCCACATTTTCAAATGGATTAATATAAAACTACAATCAAGCACTTGCCTGGTTCATTGTCTTTGAGTTCACTTGCCTTGTAATCCAGCGCCAATTGTTTTTACCATCATCCCTAACAAAATTTTGTACAATGCAAATAATCTTAAAATGCAACTAGGCTTCAATTTTTTTTTTGTGAAACAAAATGTTTTTCCTTGTGACTTGTACAAAAAAGTTATTGTGGTTGATAAAAACCCCTCAAACTTTGGTTTCTTAACTGAGCCTCCTTCTCCTCTTAACCCTTTAAGTTCCAAGATTGACCAACATCAATCTTCTCCTAAAAACATCGATACATCATCCAGAGATAAGGTTATAAGAATTAATAAAATGATCACCTTAGGGAAAATGTTTTGATCTTTTATCAAATACGCCCAACTATTTCTTTAAGGAAATGTATGGATATTAGTCTGGAGAATTTGCAACTGGATATCAGGACATAAAGAAAACATTCAGCACGCATATATTGTCAAGGCTGTGCTAAAAACGTTGAAGGGAGACCTTTGTTCTGAGCCTGTGAAATCCAGGGTGCCCAGCTTATGTTTTTTTATTTTTAAATCTAGCTTCTTCTGGTTGTCCAGAAGCAAAAGCTATGTGCTAGGGGTCACAGGGTGCTACAAGAGCACCGCCTTGATTGTATCACTTCAGAATGGAATTTTATGGACCCCTACACCTCTTTGGAAATTGGCTGTACTGTTACAACCATAGACAACACAGGTACTGGGCATGTTTTCAGTTCTAGGGGAGAATATAAAGGCAAGACTTAATATAAAAGCAAATAATACCTTTTTAATGCGTCCAGGAGTCTTTTCTTCTCCTCTTCACTCCATTCATCTGACTCTTGATCAGTAGCATTTTCTGATGATTTTTTTGCGCTTGATGCACTCTGTAAATAAGAATAATATTTTTACATTTTGTGCAGAGAATGTTAGAGATATTCAACGGGAGGGCTGTCACTTAGACTTCAAGTTACAAGGTTTATGCAATTAGTAAGCAGGGAATTTAACTGCTAGGAAGTTCTTTTGGTTCAATTTTCCTTTTGTTTCGTACAAAAGAAGCCAGGATCATCCTCATAATAGCCCAGGGAAATTCCCGGTGCCAGATGTTTACAGACAGCCCTGACCTGTGCCTTCAAGATTACACCTTGTGACCATGGAATTTTCCAGGGTTTACCCATAATTTCATGAAGAAAAAATGGCTTAACTACTGCCTTACAACATTGCAAGAACAGCAAGAATGCAATTCAGTGAATGACATCTGCCATTTGAAGAATATCTGTGAGACTAAATGTCTTTTTATATCCTGAACTTGTCAAGAAACAGGAAAATGAAGAAACAAATAATACAACAATTATTATTGGACTCAGCTTAGGCCTCAGTGGATAACATTCTCCATAATATTCTGCAGATCATACCTAGCCTTATTCAATAAATGCTTTAATAATAGTTAAGAATAATGACAGTTAAATTAAAGATTTACAGTGAAACAGTAAATCGCATTTAATGGAGCATGATGCGTCAGAGTTCCCGGGGATTGTTATTATTCTAAGTGGAGCAACTAGTGCCGTGCAATGTCAGCCATGAAGGTACACGAGTATAATATCTTTGTCTCATCGTAATACAATGGTACAGACAGGTACCAAGGTCAAAATGTTCCAACACTGGCTGGTAGGTTTGTAACATTCATTGTGTATGGCTAGATTCAATAAATACCTCTATTCATGTCTCGCTGTACGTACCGTGTGTTGCTACAACACTATTGTATGCTATCATCCATTGGCTTAGCTTTAGACATATGTCTAACTATAAAAAGGTTATTTTATGCAACCTCCTTCTTTCGCTTAGCCTGCTTGCTTACTGAACAGTTTACTTGTAAATTTTTTACTTTTTTCCCCTCCCTCCCTCCCTTTGAAGGCATTGTTGTTGTAACACAAATAAAATGTGGTTCACCTCTTGTATCTGCTATCAGTTAAGTCTCCCAGCAACTTGACCCCAAGCTTCATGTTTTTGCACTATTTCAATAATATTGGGTTTAGCTTTAGCTCTGTTATATGTCAATGTTTAATCTTTTGGCTTAAGCGTTTTATGAACTGCCTACACTCGTTCCATTAGGTTGCACAATGCTGAGCCGTAGGTTTTCAGCTTTTAGTGCCGTGAATAGTAATGCTTTTAGATTGCGTGAGGTTTTGATCCAGCACGATACACTCCACTGGGGAGATAGGTTGGGCTCTAGTCACGCTTTTGTCACACGGGAAAGTCAAACGTCACACCGATAGCAGAGCAGTGTCCCCCCTTTAACACCAACATGGAGTGTTTTCTTTCTTTGCGTTTTAATTTAATATAGTATTGGAATTGCATAGTCAATTAAAGTTAACAAAGGAGCGGTGACATCAAGGAAAATTTTGAACAAAGTGAAAACATCAAGGGAAAATTTTAATCTCAAAACTACAAACAAATTTATGTTAATTTTGTTTTTTAGTTTAGAATGTTTTCAATAAGCTTACAAAGGATTTATTTTATTGCAATACCTTTTGTTAAGAAATAGTAAGCTTATATTATAAAAGCTAGATGTCAAAATTACCAATAAAAACCAAAAAAAGTAACTCCTTCCGATTTCTTATTATATTTTTAGAGGGCATTTGGTGGTCATACTTCTGGGAAACAATTATGCAAAATTCTGCATAAATTTCTGTTAATTATTTCCCTAACGGCTGCAGATCGATAATTGATTCCGATCACGCGATCGTTTCAAAATAGCTCGCAAAATTCATCAGTTCTTATCTTAACCTACAGAAAATGTGTCCGTTGGAGTGATGGCGAAAAGAGCTATCTAAAAATGACCTGTTTAGTCAGTGTTTTGCCGAATATCTTTCCGTTTGGCTAAATGCCAAGGGAGAACTTCCCAAAAACAAAACGCTTAACGAAAACGTTTTAACACGCTCGAAACGCGTCAATGACTTTACCTTTCTTCTTCGTGACATGTTGGCCACCGTTTTAGAACCCCAATGCTTGAATATTCAACGAAATAACAACGCAAACGGCGCCTCCGAAGTATCAAACTCAAACAACACAACGCATCGCCTTCGCACGAAAACACGTCACGTCGCGCCAGCCGCGGCGCTCCAACGGTTGCGTGCGCACCTTTCATGAAAATACCGCTGACAAAGGGATGACATATGAACGAAAGGTCGGCGAGGGTCGGCGAGAGAAGCACGATAAGCACGGTGAAAGCAAGAAAAACAAAGTCTTCATAGAAAATTGACAATAATTTGCCTTTTGTTGTTAACTGGTGTTTTCAATGACATCACGAGTTTAAAAAGAACCCTGTGTTGTAGGGGAATTGCACGAAGGAGAAGGCCATGAACCTTGAACTGCTTCGTAAGTACAAATACATTTTGCAGTTTTGTATGTCGTTTTTGAAATGGCTGTCCTTGCAATGGAGTTTGTTGGCTGCTAAATAGCAGAATGGTTGCCTTGTGAATTTATAGTTAAATCTTATTGTTCGTGTAAATATACCAGTAAGTCGATTTATCAAGTTAAGTCCGTTGTGTATTGGCGGGAATCTTTAAATTCGGTTCACACTTCTTTAAAGACCTACACGATGCTAAGGAATTGGGATAACACACATATGCAGGGTTGTCAAAAGTAGCCGGCTGCCGGTGAAAATCGCCGCCTACTTGGTTAGTAGCGGCCGGCTACTCTGCTTAGCATTTCTTTACAGATGGCGTTTTTTAAATAAAATATCCCTAGACTGGCCACTTACTTTGACAACTCAGCCGTCTACTTCAAAACTTTCTGACAACCCTTCATAAGACTTCAGCTTAAGTCCACAAATGAACTTAATTCTGTTAAAATAATTGGTTTTAATTGCACATTATTAACTGCAGAATTTACAGTCCTACCTCCCATAAGCAACCACCCACAATGCAAATATTTTGCAGCATCCCTTCACCATGCCACCAGGTTGAAGGTTCACGTGACAATACTATCCAACTTCCAAAAGAAAGGCTGTTGGATTTTAAACAAATCTTACTTCTCGAGCAATGCCCATAAAAAGTCACTTGAAAAGTGAATTTGTGCTTCCTCAAACCATTCGCGTTTCAAAAGAAAAAGTGAAAAGTGCTTTGTGCCTCTCTTTCTAATATATTACTGCTTACTTTCTTTTTCAATAATTTTCTGGAGCATCCTAGCAAATAGGATAAGCATTTACTAATGCTTCTCATTTCTTTCATTTTGATGTTGGTATCTTTCCACATTTCAGAGTCTTTTGGACAGAGCTATCCTGAGGTGAGATTAGCACTTTCCTGTATGTTATTACAATAACGGTGTATTAATGGTGATGATGATGCAGGTTTAATACATGTTTTGTAACAAACTATCTGTAAAAAGATCAACATCAAGGTTTTATGTTATGTCTTATCATCTTTTGAAACCATTAAGGCATATTTGTCATGTGATTAAGCTACTTTTTTATGGAGGACAGAGATGGTCATTTGACAGAATTTGCTGATAGATTGCTGGCAGATGGTATTAACCACAATCCACTTTAAGAATTTAGCAGAGTAAAATTTGAGGTGTTGCCCTAAAACTTTGTTCAACATGTTTTGTAGACAGCTATTACTCAGGTTAAAATTTTTTAACCTACAAGCATGTTATTGACGACAAAATTAATTGAGACACTTCACCCTAAAGGGGCTTTCTGATGTTTTGTTGACTTCAAAAGGGGAAAATAAAGCTTTTCCTCCCCCATCCCCTCTATGCAATGTTGTGCCGCTGTCCCAGCAACCTATAGAAAACAACAAACACCCTAACTTTGAATGGAGGAGAGGGGAAGGGATGTGAAATTTTTTGTTCTCTAAAGTTACCCTATTTGAGTACAATGTCTCAACAATTTTGTTGCCAATTGTAGCTTGATTGTTAATGATATATGAAATAAATCATATATGAACTGCGGAAATGAAATGAGAATGAAGAAATGATCATCACAGTAAACGCAATTTATGCAATTGCGTAAAGAAGCCTGAAAAAATTTCTTTGTCTTCTACAGCTAGGAGATGAAGGAGATTGAGAATCAACGTAGGTAGTTAGCCAGTGAGCTGTCTTACTTGTTTGATACTGGGGCAATTCTCCCAAGCAAGTTGTCACTCACAGACTAGACTATGCTTCATATCATAAAAAAACTGGTTATGAGTGCAGGATGAACTAATCACAGTCAAGGATTTAGGATTCTGGAAAGCTTAGTTCAACTTAACTTCCATGTACCTGTTTAATACACTCAATTGCTTTCCATTTTATATGGAGTCATACATAAATCAATGCACACTCATTCACAAGAGACTTAAAGGGAACATTTCATAATTATATAAATGAACTTTTAGTTACAAGTTCATGCATATGAGGAATACAAGTTACTGTATATTAAATTTCCTTTGTCCTTGATTTTATAGTATTTATGCCACAGAGGGTGGTCATATGTTTACAGTTCATTCTATTTAGAACTGAAACTCTATTGCTAGATCTCTGAGAGCTTTAGACAGCTTTTCCCAATTTAAAAGAAGTCTTTTCAAACAGTTAGTGTTTTTAAATACTCGGAAAAAGGACTTACACATGTACGTTTTTAGCATATCTTATTTCTGCATCTTAACTTTCAATATATACTTAAATCTGTCTCTACATCACTTTTAATACATTTTTATGACTTAAGTTTTTGATAGGCAGAATTAGTGTAAGTATTAATTTTTCATTTCAAATAATTCTATTTTCTAGAGTGCCACTGGGTTATCAAATTGTAAAAAAGTTAAAATTCCTTTTTTACCCACAAAGCACTTAACAGTTCATATGAATTCGTTTAAATGTGTCCGTGCGTTCCAGATCTAATTGGAATTTGGAAGTGTTGGTTTTTGAGGAGAGGGGAAAACCGGAGTACCCAGAGAAAAACCTCTCGGAGCAAGGGAAAGAACGAACAACAAACTCAACCCACATGCAGCGTCGATGCCGGGATTCGAACCCAGGCCACATTGGTGGGAGGCGAGTGTTCTCACTACTGTGCCACCTTACTCCTCAGTTGTTAAAACTGTCATGTGCTGTGCACCCTTGTCAAATAAAGTCACTATCTATCCATCTATCTTCAGAAAAAATCTACTTTGTTGTTAAGGTGTTTAAGCAAGAATGACAGTGATGCAAGTGGTAAAAAAGCAATAAGCATTTGGCAAAACAACAACTTTGCACATGCTTTTTTGTACGTGTTTTAGCCGTCGTTTCTCAACTACAACGTGAAAATCCCTAATTTCATGTTTTGTCAATGACAGAAACATAAGACTATAACTTTCTTTTTCTTTTCCTGAACTTTGATACAGTTCTTTAAAATTCAACTCCAAAAAAATTTGCAAACATTTGATGAATTAAACAAGATGTAATAAGCATGATTAAGTTTGAGGCACTTTTTCAGTGACATTTTCGTACCCATCCCTGTCGTTGTTGCTTAAACTTCCTAATATTTTATTTCAGGAATATGACGGTAGCTTGGATTCAGTAAGTGTTGCCGTCACAGCGTCGTTCAATCGAAGAGGTTCTCTTTTAGCTGTGGGTTGCAACGATGGTCGAATTGTCATCTGGGATTTTCTAACCAGGGGAATTGCCAAAATAATCAGTGCTCATGTGCATCCAGTAACATCTTTAAGGTAAAAATACAGCATTTATGTTACAGGTTAAACTGGCAGGCTGATTGGCAATTTCCTTTGTCTCCTAAGCCTAATTATCTACGAGTTAGGGCTAGGAGACAAAGTAAATAGAGAATCAACCTGGGTTAAAGAATTTTAATTCAAATTTCATTCTAACCTGTAATATAGATGTCATGATGGAGTGTAGGTGTTTGTCAGAAATTTTTTTGTTGGTTTGACAACTCCATCATGCTGTATGTAAGATGGGTGCCTAGTCTTTGGGCCTCCAGACAGTGAACTGCTTCTTCCATGGCTTTCAATCTCCACAGCCCAGCAATGAGCCCCCACACAAGTCCTCCACTCAACCGTGACTCAGTGGAAAAGGGAAAATGATTGGGAAGAGAGGAAAATGCTGGATGGATGAATGCTCTGCAGAAAAAAAATGACACAACTACAGGACTTCAATGTGCTGAAATAATCTATAGCATGCACATTTACATTATTGCTTTTAAGGGACTTAAATTCTATAAAGTGGATTACCTTAATTGGCCAACAACAAACAAACAACATGAATTGAAGAGTTGATCCTGTTTTAAAATTATACTCTCTTGTTTATGATTTTAGCTGGAGTCGAAATGGTCGTAAGCTGTTAAGTGGTTCTAATGACTGGAATGTGTCAGTGTGGGATGTCCTTTCTGGAGAGTGTGATCAGAAATATCGTTTTCAGTCACATGTCACCAAAGTACAGTTCCATCCAAGAAACAAGTATG